TTATCCCTTAAAGTGTTTTGCAGCTAAATTTGGCTGCGATTTACCACTACTCATGTGCCGATCTAAACTGTAATACAATGAAATTCCATGGAATCCTCTGCGGAAATCCTGAAAATTCCGCGGAATTTAGAACAATAGCTATCATTTAAGAGATACTACAATGACGGGCATGTGCCTTTCAGTCACGTGGTTGATCAAATTAAAATATACGTGATCAGTAATGCTGGTCAGTACAATTTTTGCCCGCACTATGGCTTTGAGTCCTGACTTCATCGTCAAGTCAGTTGCTTGACCCGGGTTAGGTAATCTAGATATAAATATTTATGTTACGCCAATTTTTCATTGTTTGAAAAATAACTACATTTGGATCGATCATTAAAAAAATTCTAATTGTTCAAATATTTGAATACAATTATATTTTATTATAAAAATAAATAGGATGAATCACTATATGTACTGTATACTATAAAATTATAACGAAGTAATAAATTACATTATTTATATTTTTCTTGATTCTATAGTCACATTTTCAAATTTAACATCATATAGTTTAACTCTTTTAATATTCCTTGTGTATTCCTCTTTAGAATTCTTGAATTTGGACGTGATATTTTATGATTAGTATTACTCGATGTTCAACATGGTTTAATTATAAAAAATTTATTTATAAAATTTTAATAATAACAAATATAATCCAATAAAATACACATACTGTAAAAATGATAAAGAAAATAAATAATAAAATAATATATACGAATAAAGAAATTTATATTCTGAATATTTGTAAATTTCCTTTCTTAGTTGTCTTTATCTACAAGAATGAATTAAAATAAATTGTTAACAATATTAGTAAAATTATCATGCAAAAAGCAAGTTAATGTAAATGAGTACCTAGATTGAGTTTAGTGAAATCGATTGCTTCTATGGATTCTAGAAAACAAAAAAATAATTGTAAATTATAAGTATTTCAAGAATACTTTTTCTAATATAAACTAGAACATTAATTACCTGAATATTCTCCAATTGAATTATTGTCATCTTTGTTATCAATAGCATTTTTTGGTTCTGGTAGATTTTTAAAGTTTAAAAGTCTACTTGTGTAAACTGCTTGAGGATTTGTAGTATATGAAAGAGTAGTACCATTATATGGTAATGAAGTAGAAGTAATCTTTTCATTAATTCTTTCTGCTTCTTCAACCTGCTTTTTGATTTCACTATCATCACTATCATCAAGTAATTTATCATATAAATTATCTAATGAATCATATAATTCATTTGCTTTAGGTCGTTTTGAAGGATCAGCATCCCAACATTGTTTAATTATGTTCAAAATTAGTTGAGGAATTTTATAATCAGATTTTGGCCTAAGCCCTTGACAAATGCTAATAGCTAAGATTTTATCATGAGCAATATCATGATAAGGAGGAAGCCCTGTACAGACTTCATATGTAATAATTCCAAATGCATAAATATCACTTTCTTGAGTATATTCTTTTCCTCTTAAAACCTCAGGCGCAACATAAGGTAATACTCCATATACTTGTTTTTCATATTCATTTTGAGAAGGTTTTACATTTGCTGGTTGGCATAATCCTAAATCAGTAATAATAGTATAGTCATTATCTTTTAACATATTACCACAATGAAAATCACGATGAATTAATTCTTTTTCATGAATGGATAAGAGGCCAGCTGCAATCCTTTGTAAAATATTCAACTTATCTACCCACTTTATTGAATTAAATGTATTATTTAAATATTGTCTTAAACTACCTTCTTCTGCGTATTCTATTACCATCATGAAATTATTAGATTCTGGATCTTTAGTAATGCCAAAACATCGAGTTACACCATCTGAAATAATCATGGTATGTGATTCAATCTAAAAAAGAATCCATAATAATAATAATAAATAATAGTAAGTTTAACATTTATATTGGAACAGTAGTTTGAAAATTATATACAAATAAGTAACCTACTTCTCTTAAAAATTCGGATGTAACATTCTGAGAATTATGTAAACATTTTAAAACAACAGGAAAATTTTTATGTTGGATCCAATATTCTTTTCTCTCCCATTGATTATTTTCAGAATCCCATTCTTCTATATATCCATCTTTCCAAATTGCTTTATAAATAGTTCCAAATCCTCCTTTAGCCAAATATTCAACATTTTCAAATCTATCATATTCAATCCACTCTAAAATTTCTTCATAACGTTTAGCTCTGAGTTGTGTTTTTTGAATAAACTTATCAACTTCATTATTTCCACTAGTCCAATTGTTGAAATTTTGTTGGAAATGCTTAACATTACATGACTTACACCAACCATTACCAGTATTAGGCTGTTTACATTCTTTGCACAAACCATTACATTTATAACGTTCTTTTAATTCTTCATTTAATATTAACTTATCAATTAACAATTTTTGTTCATCTGTTAATTCCCAATGGTTAAAATCTTTTATTTGCTCAAATACATCATCGCTGAGCTTAAATTCTTCCATATTAGATTACTGGTCAATTTTATGTAAAAAATGAATAGTTTTTTTTAAAAAAAAAAAAAATTTACGCCTTTAATATGTTGCACTGCAGTGATCGACAAATTTTAAATCAGCTGATGATCACAAAAATAAAAATATTGTTACACAAAAAGCAACTACAATATTTTATAAGATTTTTTAATCAGCAATTATTTATTATCTTTTAATACATTCTGTTATTGATAGTGATATTCTTTTACGATTGAATTATTGTGATTCAACTAAGAAGTTATTTAATCATTAAATAAATGGAAGTATAATTCAATTAATTAACCTTTAAAGTAATTAGGAAATTTCAACTGTTGGTAAAAAAATTATAATGAAACCAGAAAATTAAATTAAAATTTTTATATAAATTGCTTAGATAAATAAATAATATTATTAAATTTATTCCAAAAGTAATAAAACATAAATTAAATAATTTCTTGCAGTTATAATATAACAGCATGTTCAAACTATAGAATTTTAAGGAGGGATACAACAAAGAATACTAAAGGATCAAATAAATTGAAAGTTGAACGAAGTTGTAGTTGTGGCGCAGCATATTACTGTAATAAGCAACGTTCGTTTATTAAGATTTTTCATGACTTCTTAATAATAGATGGCTATTGATTTACTATTAAAATAAAGTTAGGCTAGACTTTTTTATATTATGACTTATGAGTAATTAACGTAAAGTCTATTAAAATCTACATTTTTGATATAAATATTTAAAAAATAAAATAATAAAAATATTTTTAACTAAATAAAAAAAATGGTTCTTTAAAAAATTACTTACGTATTATGGATACGGCATTATATATATATATACATGTATATTCCATTAAAGAGAAGTTTTGACCGGCACTTATATAATATGTAAAGTTCATTTAGAATCTTATACGATTTACATTTTAATAAGGAAATACGATTTGATTACATACCAATTTCTTGGATCGTCACTGAAAGGAGTCCAAATGTCTCTTTTCACCGTTTAAAAATCTTCAAGGGTTAAATTGATTTGGATTTTTCCAAATTTTAGGATCATGATGAACGTGTCAAACATTGACACTTATAAGATTTTGGAGGAATAATAATGGCGTAAACGTTTGGAATTGTTAGACGAATTAATGAAATATTTTTTAAAATTAAACCACAGGATATTTAGCGAGGTGATAGCGACGCTGATATTTAAATAAATATGTATAAATATGTTATTCTTTTAAATTAGGACATTAATAACTTAGACCAAATTTATAAGCGAAAGCAACTTGAATGGTTGTACGTTGCATCATATCATAAATATTTATAGGGATATTTGAATTATAATCCATCAGCAAGTTGAATAATTTGAAAACATTATCGCCAATGACATCATGTAACAAGACTCGATTAAACGCAGCATTGCCAACTTCTTTGCTTGCGTTACGTCTAAAAAAAAGGTTTAGGGTTTTTATTATAAAATATTTATTTTTTTAAAAATAAAAAAAAAAGCTTTTTATTTGTTATTTATACTTTGCGCTGCTATTTGGTTATTTTTTTTGCCATAATAAATAAAAAAGATACTTACCTAATTTGTTAAAATTTCTTTATATATTCAACATCTTGAAAATAAAAGAAAGTTATGGTCCAGCGTTCGTTCATAAAAAAATTCATTTTAAAAACGTGATAAAATTAAGAATTACTTCATGAGAAATCCCCAATAACTTGAATATATCTTGAGATTTTTTCTTAATCATAGCCCACATAAAATTTTAGTGTAGGTATTGATGGAATTTTTTCGAAATCATTTTTTACTTGATCGTGATAAAAGACTTTTTAGGATATGATACCCACTATTATTGCACTAATTTAAAAGAGAAGTCCAATCTTTTTTTTTTTTTTTTTTTTATTAAAAAATTAAATAATATCATAAGGTAGTAAGTAACTCTTAAACATTCCCTAAAGTATTCTAAACAATAATAAAAAGGAGAGACGGAAATAAGCGGAGGAAAGCAATATTTTACAGATCCAAAATAGTATAGTATGATATCCCGATCTAACTTTATAAGAAATGAGTGAAACTGAAAAACCTCTCTTGGAAAGCGAAATTCCTTAAGTGAACTTTTACTAGAGAACTTCGAAGAAAACGAACTCCCATCACAACATAAAATGTATAACTCACCAAGAAATTAAGTGTTTGAACTGTCCGTAAGTATTTTTCTTAAAAAAATATATTTACATATTCATGGGTATTTATAAAGCTAAATAGTATAAATATGTGCTAACATTTTATTAACATTTTAGAAATAAACATGGTAACCCTATCTATTTTCTTTCAAAATTAATTTTCATGTATTCAACAATTTATACTAAGCAATGTGTATTTAGGTTTCATATAATTAAAAAAGTAAAGGTTTAAAATAAAAATGGGTTAAAACGTACTAAAAACACAATTCTTTATAGGCTACTTTATTACCTTGTATGATGGGAAAAATCTTTTGGTTAAAATAGCAAAATTCTCTAATTATAATCAATCATCTATTCTTAAATTGGAAAGAATGGAAAGAATGCAATTTTTAAAACTTATGAACATGACGGAAATTTGATACAACGTTTTTTTACCTTACCTAATAATTACTTTTTTATATAGGACAAACTATTAATTATATTTCTATTGATTTGGACGATCAAGAGTTAAGTCAAATCATATTACAAAATTTAGGACGAGTTCTTCCTTCTAAATTAGAATATTTACATTTAGAACTTTTTTTTATTACAGCAGATGATTTTAAAATGTTCTTAGTAGATTTTCAAAATACTTTTGTTAATAAATTTCTGATTAATGATATAACGCAAGATTTATACGAAGGTATCTTATTTTATACAAAGGAATATATTATGAAGAAGAAAAGGGTTAAATATTTGGCCATTAAAGTTAGACGTGAATTGGCTGATTTGAAATATGAAGTAAAGGAATTTAGATCATATGATATTATTGTTAAAAGATATTTTGATTTATATATTAATATATTGGATGATATTATTTACAATTTTACTAAATAAAATAACATTGTTTGATGTTACCCAATTTAATAATGTATATTTAAAAGTGGTAAAACCTTTATTAAAATGCTAATTAATCCTGACAAGCATTTGAGGACAGTGCCATAACGAAATCTGCATTATCTGATAGTTAATATTTAATGCTTTCGTTTAATTAACACTTATTTTAAAGCTTGCTAGCTGTACCAAATGAATAGCTAACAAATATAAGTTTATTTGAGGTTTATATTTATAATATAGATTACAGAAGCTTGTTACAATAATAATAGATTTTTTTTGTTAAAAGATTAATCAAATTTAATATTTTAAATAGTAATAAGTAACAATTCCATACCTCTTAAACTATAATTAAATAATTAGGAAAAATTTTGCTACACTTGCAGTATAGTTGATGTTTAAAAATATAAAAGCTGCTAAAATTAATTCTTTTTCAATATTTCATTAATTTCTTTCCTTCAACTAGTGATCCCTTTACTTATTGTTGTTGAGTTTTTTCAGGGTGGAGCATAAGTACACCTCTTCGGAAGTCCTTATTGGTAGGACCGTAGTATTGAGAAACTAAAATAAGTTTTACATCTTTTTAGAAATTTCTTTTTCTAAAAAAGATGAGCCTTTATTTTATATTATATAATACAAAATACAACTTTTTATATATGTTCATAATACTTCTCAAAATAAATCCATCAATTAATTATTTTCATCTTAATCTATTATTATATTAAATAATAGTGAATTTTAATGAAAATACTATTAATAAAATAATAATTCAGTTATAAAATTGTTTTACATGATGGTGAACCTCCAATTTAAGTTATAAATACTTATACTTGTCATTAAATACATTTCTAAGTTTTTTTTTTTTGAAAAATTTCTTGAACATAAAATTTAAATAATTCTTTACCGTTCGCTTTCAGTTTCATGAAGTGTGCTGCAATTTTTTTAAAGAACAGATATAAGAAAATTGTAGTGCTGACCATATCATCAAACTGCGGCAACCTGAAAAAACAAAAGTTTTAACTATATAACTAATAAAATTTTCTGCAATAAATTCGTTCATTCACTTACAGTTTCTAGCATAATAGCATAATGAATATATTTTTCAGTAGGAATTCTTGATATTCTAACATTTCAAACAATCTTTTACAATTTTTACATATAAATTTAATGATAAAATCAGTGATCAAATCATGTAAATTCCATACGAATTCCATGTAAATTCCGTATATATCCAAACCATATTTTTAGTGATACGGAATTGTGCATTTTCCCGTATCCATTCATGATACGTTATTTCTAAGGAAAAAAAAATCGTATAAAAACTTTATAAAAAACGTATCCAATTTTTTTATATGGGATCTTAATTAAAATGAATTTATTCAAATTTATTTATTTTTTTTTTTTTTTTTACTTTTTTTGAGTTTCAATCTTTAATTCATCATTATTTCGCTTTCTCGAAAAATTTGCAGTTAAACGCCTTCATAATGATATTTTTTTCAGTTCTAAAATTCAGTTCATTATTCCATATATTAATAGTATTATAAAGATCATTAATAGTTGGTCTATTTAAAGGATTAGAATCCTAACGTAACATTCAGGTGTATCATTTGTAATTTCAGATCGTTTTCCATCAATAATTTCATAAATGAGATTAACATCATGTTCAACGTTAGAAAAAGGTTTACATCTCGTTACAAATTCTATAATCATACCCAAACTATATATATCGGATTCTTTTGAAAATGTACGATATAAGGTATTACTCCATATATATTTCATTATTTAATGAAGTACTATTTGCGGGTCTCTTTCCAAATCGCATTTGACAATAACATATTTCCACCATTATTGTAAATATTTTTAAGTCTAAAATGAAAAAAATTTAAATGGTTAATAAATTTAAATTTATCCCACTGTTCCTAGTTAAAATTTGTGTTTTTTTTCTTGGTATTCTCACGGGTGGTGTTTATTTAAAAAGATGGGGTATAAAAGTCTATCAATATTAGAATGAAAAGTCTATCATTATTAGCCAAAACAAGCATATTAAAGGGCTTTATGGTACGGATACCGTGAGATAAATCAGTTTGCGCCGTGAAAATCATTGATATCCACAATAACTATTACATAGAGAATTGATAAATACGTTAAAAACACAAATACCCGAATGAAATTCTTCGTAACGTAATATTTTAAAATTCCTTTGTAAATAATTATGTAAATTTCCACCATTCGCATAGTCCCATTTAGTTAATAGTTTATTAACTTGTTGCCCCGATTTTATATAAAGATTGATGTAGAATAATCAAATGTATATTTTAGTAACCAATAAAATTATCTTTATTTAATACTTTTAACTAACTAAATTTAGAATATTAAAATAATAATATTTATTAACGTTTCTTCTCATACTTCTTGTATTTTTAATACTCTCTTAAATTATTTCCAGGTAAATAAATTGATTAATTTTATTTAAATATAAAATTATTTTTTGCGAAATTACTTTGTTATATACAGTATATTTTAAATAAAAATCATAAACAAATAAGCCAAATTAATATATATGACGACGTATTGTTAATGATACGATTGATACGATATCAAACTATAAAGCAACTTGAAATTTAATAAATGTTGTGAAAAGGTTTGTATTTCAAAACACTTTAAAACAATTCCAGATTCCCAAATTCTCTCTTTGGCTAAATATTCTAGAATGGATTGGCTTTTAATTACATCAATAAATTATATGACTGGTCACGACTCACGAACCAGTCGAACCATTTCTCATATATTATATCGCGTAAAAGTTTAGCCTAGTTTTAACTTACCTATTATGGAGAATTTAAATAAAAACCCCAAAATTGAATAAATTTAATTGTCGATCGGTGTATTTTAACTAGTCTTTTTTGATAATTTTGTTGCTGATCTTAAAATAATTGCACGTTTCATTCATTTCAATCGTTTCACACGTTTCAGTCCGTTTCACCACTATTTTTTCATTCTTTTTTTCTTTTATTATTTTACTAGTAACTTTTTTACATACGAATTAATAACATATTTTTTTGTTTACTAAATTATTTATTAAAATGGATGAAATTAAATTAAGCGATGATGTATTAGAACAAATAAAAGACTTCAAATATTGGAGATTGACTGAAGAACAGGAATCGTTAATTGATAAACTAATAAAAGACGAAGAATTAAAAGAACATTATAAAAAACATGGTTTATGTAAAAATTGTGACCATCTTAATATAAATTTTGAACTTTGCAATTATTGTAGTTTTAAACCAAATTTCAAAAATTGGACAAGTGGAAATCATGATGTTGATGAATTTATTCGAAAAGCACAATTAAATGCTAAAAATAATCATCAAGTTATAGAGTGGATTGAATATGATAATTTTAAAGATGTTGAATATTTAGCAAAAGGAAGATTTGGTACTACTTTTAAAGCAGTTTGGAAAGATGGTTTTATATTATATTGGGATAATGACAATAATCAATTGGTAAGAGAAGGCGAAACAAAAGTTGCTTTAAAATTTTTGCATAACTCACAAGACATTACAACAGATTTTTTAAAAGAGGTAAGATATTTTCTTTTAAATCTTTATTTAAACATTTGTAAATATTAAACTAATTATAATTTTGTTTTAAGGTTAAATCAAATATTTTAGCATGTGAAATTTCAAATGGTTTTGTAGTTCGTTGTTTTGGTATTACCAAAGATCCAAAAACAAATAATTTTATAATGGTGATGGAATTAAAAAATGGTAATTTAAGACAACACTTAAATAACAATTTCATTTCACTGAGTTGGGATCGAAAGTTGCAAAATTTATTGGGTACTATATCTGGTCTTAAAGATATTCATAATGAAGGATTAATTCATCATGATTTTGATTGTAGGAATATATTAAGCGATTTTAATGATTTAACCTTTATTACTGGTTTTGGATTATGTCAACAGGCAAATGTCAAATCCTCTCAAAATAGTGATAAAAAAATATATGGAGTATTACCTTATGTAGCTCCTGAAGTTTTAAGGGGAAAAGAATATACTCAAGCAAGTGATATTTATGGTTTTGGAATTATTGCACATGAAATTTGTATAGGTTTCCCTCCTTATCATGATATAGCTCATGATGAATTCTTAGCAATAAAAATTTGTAAGGGATTGAGGCCAAAGTCTAATTATAAAATACCTCAATTAATTTTTGATGTTATTAATCAATGTTGGGATGCAGATCCTTTAAAACGACCTGATGCAGATGAATTATTTAGGCTAATATCGAAATTATCCTATCATGCTGTTGATAAAGATTCTGTGATCTATAAGCAAATCAAAGAAGCAGATGAAATTAATAATAAATCATCGTTTTCAACAGTCCAATCATCATCATCGTCTACTAGTATTCTCTCATATATGACACATCCTCAAGCAGTTTATACAAGCAAACTTTTAGATTTTAAAAATCTTCCAGAACCCAAAAATGCGGACAATGATGATTTAGAATATTCAGGTAATTTTAATTCAAAATAATCATTTAAATCTATTTAAAATAATAATTATTCTTTTATTTTACAGATTCCTTAAGAATGGATTTTACTAAACTTGATATTAATTATAAAGGTAATTACTTTTGCATGTGGTTTTTTTTTGATGATTTGATCTATTAATTTTAATTAAACTATTTTTTTTTATTACAGATGGAAGAAATTAAACACATTTTACAATTAAACACATTTTACTTTAAATGGAAACTTTTAGTATATAAAAAAGCAAAATAGATATAATTTATTCTTATTTTATTTTGAACTTGGAGATAATTTTTTAATGTTATTTTGAGTCATTTTAAGATAAAAATTGTAATGGAAGTAATGGAATTAAAAATTATTATTTTATTTTTTTATTAATAAATTTATTATATTAAATTATCTAAAATAAATAATGAATAAATTACTAATATCATAATAATATTTTCAATTAACAGATAAACATTAAAATTATCAGGCTTATCTGAATTAAAACGTTTGATTTTTGTACAATATTTTATAATAAGTTCAAGTAATAGTGGTCTTGATTCTTCATATTCTTCACCCATATATCCATATTCAAAATTTTCTAAATAATCACCACATTTTTGTAATAGTAGTTGTAATGATTCTACATGTAATATTTCATCCATCAACAAAGATCTCAATTTAAAAGGTTTAATAACCTTAATAATTTGTTGAACAAAATCAGAATTTAAAGAACAACAATAAAAATATGAACAGATTCTAAAACATTCAATTGATTAAAGACCTCTTGTAAGACAGTAAGTATATTCTTAAAATCAATGTAATTAAATATAATTGTACTTAAAGTATTTGAACAATTAGAATTTTTTAATGGTAAAAATAAATTATAATTAACTTTAAATCCAAATGAAATTATTTTAAGATTATGTTGTGAAATAATTATTTGTGATATACAATTTTCAATTAATGATAAATCATTAATATTACCAATGTGGGATGAATAACAAAAATTAATTGATGAGATTGAATTGTAATTATGAGAAAAAAATTTTAAAAAAGGAACGATATTTATAGTAATTTTAATATCATCAAGGAATAATGTTAAATCTTTGATATTGTAAGTAAAATTTGGATTTTGTAAAATCAATTCCATAGTATCATTACAATAGCTATCCAAAGTAGATATTGCATATTCAAGAGAATGTAATTTTCCTTCATTTTTAATGAAAATTTCAAGTAACGACTTATAAACTAATTCTTCTACTTCCATAAAATCATCATCGTCCACTAAAATAAAAATCCACTTTTTAATAGAACGATAAATACTCCCATAGTTTAAGTATTTAATGAAACTAGGATAATTGAACAATGTATTATTTGAACGTAATAAATCATATTTAATTCCATATTCATTAAATTTTGCTTTGTCATCTTCATTTAATTTACTTAAGTAAATTTCAATGTAATGGTAATTTTTGGGATCATACTTTGAAAATGGATCTTCCCACAATAATGGAATCGCTAAACGACACCATAATCTATTAACTAAAATACACGAATATAATGTTGAAAATCTTTTCTGGAATGTTGTATAATTTCATTTGTTAATTCGGGTAAATCTGAAAATATTTTTGAGCATGCCATGTTTGTGAAGGAAAAGGAGTAACTTTCATTTTTAAAACGGAATAAATTTATCAATTTTTGTTACGTTTGTTGTACTACTCCATAAAAAGGCAACAATCATTCCATTTGGATGTTCCAGCATGCTGATCTCATGTGATCGAATTTTTATTCAAAGATCATTTGATTGAGATGATTTTTGCTATAAACAATTTTAATAATAATCATTAGGCTTCGAAACCGATTTTATAATAAAGCTTTTTTTTTTTTATCAAAAATTTCCTATTTTCTTGTACAGACTATGGTCCAAAGTATTTTATGCAGAAATTGTTAAAAAAAAATTGGCTATTTATGCGCCACTTTCTATGGTCGATCGATGATCGACTTTATTAAGAATCTTTTAATCAAGTTGGACTACACAAATACTGTATGTATAAGAATACAAATTCTGAGCACATTTAGAACATGTTCCATAAATGGATAACGTTACTCAACATTTATTAGCTTTGCAAATGTTCAAGTCAATAAAATTATAGCTAATAAAATTTATATAGTTTGTCCAAAACATTGATAATACCGTTAAACATTTTTTATTTTATTTTTATCTTTAAAATGTAGACAATGATGGGAGTCATGCTAGTTCGGGAGCCCTTACAAAAGAAACTACAACGTGCTACTATACTAGGATAAACTCAACCCTCGCAAGGATCGTACTGCCTGTTATTGAAAAAGACAACTTCAGGCAAAACCTGCATTGTCGAAATAAATTAAAGAAAATAAGAAGTAAAAAAGAAAAATAAGAAAAATAAGAACTATTCGAAGCCAAAGAATCTATATAAGTTTTAAAATACAAAAAAGAAGAACATCCACCAGAATGTAAAAATTGGATGTAGAGAGAACAAGCCATAAAGGAATCGGTGCACAACCTCGTGACGCAATAGGCGGATTCGTCCATAAAAATGGGTGTATAGGGACGATCGGAGGAGTAGTTGCAAAAGTATCATCAAGAGAGTGCGATGATGAACCTTTATCAGCGGCTATATTATGTCGTTTTCTTTTTCGAGAGATATTACGCGCTTTTCTCAATCATGAAGATTACGATTATGTTGAATCCAAATGGTTTGGTATAAAGTTTGTTGTAAAGAAGTCATAAATTCAAAAATGACTTTTTTTGTGAAAGAATAATTATTGGTATACGCATGAACAGTGTCTGCTAAATTTTGAGGGATAAATTGCATAAAATTGGTGTAAACTAAGTAAATATCGTGACTGTCATCTAAGACAGATGTGAAAGGCGAATTCTTTCACACTGTCTGTGATAATTTGTGAATTCCGACATTTGACGTATGTGTAGTAAGTAACGTGATGAGCTTGGCGACATGGGAGCGCAATGTTGCGTTGATGAAAGGTCTCAAGTTTGTACAGAGTCCCAAGTGAGTATTAGTGTCTGGTAAGGCGTTGCAGATAGGGCATGGAATGCCAGAAGATGGATAAAGGGCGGGTAGTGTTTTAATAGTACATCTCCGCAAGGTAAAATATGATTAAGACTTTTGATCTTGAAGGCGTCGTATGCTGATTTGCGTTCACTACAAATATCATCGGTGTTGTTCAAGTGGAGCCAATCTTTAGTGAGCGGCCAATGTATGGCGTTAATATCAAATTTCTCAGACATGGGGTGTTTCCCAGAAATTGGTCAAACGTATAGCTATCTGTGATCGATTGAGTAAATTTTCTGACATCGCGATCGATGGGATCGATCGAGTCCCATAAGGGCATCATAAGTGTACCCGGTAAACATGTAGGATTAATCTCAATAGGCAATAAAGTAAGAGCAGACTTAACCATAAGTCGTTAAATAGGTTTCCGGAATAAGCTTTAACTTTTGTAAAAGTAATGTTGAGAGATTTGTTGGACATCATAGTGTTAATAAGACGCCAAGCTATATTATTGCTGATTTTGAGAATTCTTCTAATAGAGATAAGTTTGTTGGAGATTTTGTTGAAAGTGTCTATGACATTTTGCGAAACAGTATGAAAGATAATTTTAGAGTTCTCGGGACAAACTAGTAATGCTGTCAACACGTGTAGACTTCCGCTTTTGCAGAGGAAGGATTAAAGGCCGTAGATACTAGATGAGACAATGCTTTTAGAAACCTCAGCCCAAGCGAAACCTATATGAGTATTGGTTTCAGGAGAAGTCTTTCTACTAAACGAACCATCTGTATAAAAAAGAAATGAAGATTGTGATTTGAAATTATTTGCTAAAATTAATAAAGAATTGATGAAATCTATATTTCCAATAAAAAGATTTCGAATAAAGAAAGGTGGTCTTGCTCTGAAATTAATATGTCCGTAACCTCAGGAATTTTAGTCACGTACTGAGAAATTACGAGTGCCTCTTGATCTCTCTGTTTCTTTTCCCGTCTCCTCTCTCTAATCTTATTGCTAATGCTTTTCTTATACACATCATCCAAGAAATCGACCATTTCCTCATCGTTACCATCAAGGTCACTAGGTGCTCGTCCTACTTCATTATTGAGTTTGTCTATTACAGAATCGGGTACATCAACAGTTGGTACTGTCACCACTGGCATCGCTTCTTCACCGTTTTGAAATGGCAACGCCATCCCATCCACTGCTGAACTCTGTTCTAATAATGCAAGTCTAGCCTCAAGCTCTCCAACTCTAGACTTGAGTTCAGCATTCTCAGAATCACGCCTTGCATTCTCTTTAATAATTTGCTTCAACCTCGCATTCTCAGCCTCAACCTCAGCAAACTTTAGAAACTTCTCTCTAAGTTCGGGAATCTCGGCATTCTCCTTCCTAAGCTCGGCAATCTCAGCTAAGAGCTTGGAATTTAATTCTCTCAATGAATCAATGGATTGTATGTTCGATAATAATTTTTTATATAAGGTGGAATAATTCAGAAGTCTGTTAGCGTAGATAAAAAACGAGGTAATATCCTCATCGGAATTACTGATTTATTGATGTAAAAAATAAATTACAAGTTCGGCAATACATAAACAAAGTGAAATAGAGTTTCCATACTAATGCCTACAGACCACATCAGTTGTTCATCTAAACTACTAACACAATATCCTCTAATCCGATTTTATTTTGATATTCTGGATAGAATAAAATAGTCGCCAATTATGCATAGAACATGCAGAGTCAGAAATAAATTAACAGTTATTGACCTTAGTAAAACTCACCGAAAGTTTACGTTCTCCATCTAATAGGTCCTCAAAATTTCCGAACAAAATAAATAGATGCAACTCTTGAAGTCGTTTCTTGCAAATGTATAGCCACAGCCGACATATTCATACCTTAATTGCGTATTGTCTCGTCCAGGCTTCAATAATTTTTTCGTCAATGCTTCCTTCAAACTACGTCAGTTTTTATTAAACGAGTTCAGGCTCGGAGAAAGGCTTTGGTAATCGAAGTCACTGATTTACTGCGCTTTGTTTTTTAAATCTGTCTGTGTTGCAAATAGAATCATTCTAGGTCATAGTCCAACACTGTTGCAAGTAGATCGATCACACAAAAAGCCATATTAGTCAAATACGATCAATCGTACGACCGAAAAATAAATATGCAATCTAATGAGTAATGATAACAAGCCATCAATCAATCAAGAGTCTATCAAAAGGTATATATACACCCTCAGAAACTCTCTTAAACTTCTTTTTAAAAACTTCTAAAACTCTCAAACTTTTAAAAACTCTTCGAAATGCTCTCACTTCAAGAATTATCTAAGAGTGTAACTGAAACTTTTTCACCTGATCGGGTACAAAAGATTCTCGTTGAGCTTGGATTTGGTGAAGATAACGTAGCATCATGGAATGAACCCATTGAAGTCCCTTTTGGGGTTTCTTCAACTCTTTTTATAGCCCGTGTTGCCATTATTTACGGTCTTCCATTTCGACATATTGACCTTTACCCCGAACTTGATTATATTCAAACACATGGTGGAGAAATCCCGAAATTTGTGAATAAAAAAATTCAGTCATTGAGCACAAAGCAAATTTTGGGTGGAGAACCTCGAAACACCATACCTGAAAACATATTCATATATGAATACATATATAAACCCGAAGAGCAAGCGCTCAATGTGGTTAGTCAAATAATGGACAAGTTTGGTCATACAAAAAAATTTCTCTATCGCGGAATCAATACTCATGATATTAGAGAAACTCTTTTAGAAGGGTTTATGGAGGTAAGAGGTCGGGTTTCCATGAGAAAAGATTTTGGGGGTGGACTATATGCCACTCCAGATATTGAATATGCCATTAAATACGCTGGAAGGAATGGTTCACTCCTAGTTTTTGACTGGTCAGACCTCGATAGAAATCTTACATATAAAATTTTAGATGATTTAGAAGTATGGAAAGCGACAGTAAAAGGCTTTATTTGCCTAGGGAACAACAATAAACCGTTACCTCCACAACATTATGAAGACATTATTCAAGGTCCGATTTCCTCCAATTATGATGCTATCAGTCATTGCCATGAACCAGTACCTTTAGATACTGAACAAGTTGTTGGAAAAACTGATTTAGGCATTAAGGCTTTTGCCAATCGTTTTTTTGCCATAGTATATTTGAGATAAGCACCACACGTATTGATTAGCGGAAATTTGACAATAATAATTGATTAAAGATGTTTTTTTTATCTTCTTAATAGCGAACAATCTGTACACAAAATATATTAGGCCTTGCGTAAATTCACTTGAAGAAGAAATTTTTATTACTGCAAAACTTAGTAAATTTGATCTAAACATTAGGAATTCTATGTAATTGCATTATATAGTAACAATGTTTTGTACTTTTACAAGTATTATTTAAAATATTAATTAATAAATACATTTTTAAATGCGATTGTTTTTTTCTGATACATCCGGCTTTATTAATATATGTTTAAAGTACAGCTCGCAAGAAAACACTATTTTTCACCCTTAATCAAAGATGGGATGATAACCCAAACATGTTAACGAATAAAATATGAGAAAAAAGGATTGCCGAGGCGTAGTATTACGCGGTTCCTTTGGAACTTGCTCCTTTTAAAACTTCAGCAATTATATAATCGCTTTCATCTACAGTTAGATTTAAGACGAAACCCGGAGGGGTTGATTTTACTCGTGCTATCTTTTCTTTGCCTATAGTATTGAAGATCTAAACATTTTTCGAGCTCTTTCCATTCTTTTTTTCTAAGCATTATCAGAGAACTTAGTCTCGGAAATTTCTTTTCTAACCTCATTTTTGACCAAAGCTCGAGCTCCTTCTTTACCGTAGGTGGGTTTTAACTCTTTATATCGATTAAATAAAGCTTCCCAAAATCAAAGCAGCTGGAGATAAGGTCACGAGATGCATCTTAGTTTTTTGTTTCGGCATTGTCTATCTTATTGGAGAGTCGTAAAAAAATACCCCTGGCATCAGTTGCACAACTTGATTCCTCCGAGATTCCACCAACAACAGGAATATCGGTTAATAATTCTTCTATAAGTTGCTTTAGCGTACTCGATACCTTTTTCCCACCGGACTTTTTAGCTTTTTTGCTCGAGGATTTTTCGGTAGATTACTCCCTAGTACGTTTTTTCTGTGGAGTTTCTGTATCGTCAATTTCCATATGATGGACATAGGGCATAGCTTTCGTGGATTATTGGTGCAATTGTAATTGCACGATATGCTTGCAGGTTAAATATACTAGCGGTTTCGGAGGGCCTTGAAGTTGAGGGATAATCGAAAAAAGCTTACGGGTGGGAGATATGAAGAAAGATCTTTATAACATTTGGCGCAACCCAAAGTACTTTAACCTGTTGAGTTGTTGTACCCTCATCCCCCATCCGTATAGGTGGTGAAGATAGGGTAAATATTTCGCCCATTGACTTGGATAAAGGTGAGATTCCACTTGATTGAGAGGGTTTGCCTTGCAAACCAAGTAATGGCAAATTGGAAACGATGCCAAGGGCATCAGCTTGATCTAAGATGTCCACATTCTTTCCACAGCCGGGGGCTAGACATGTGCTTGGAGTTCCATATAAAGTAACAATTATCTAGGTCTTTTTCAGAATAATGTTTACTTACATATACTGATCATGAACGTAGTGAATTATCGGGGCTAAAGATGGATTTTTATATCACTTGTAAATTTCGCAGGAGAAAACATTCCCAAGATTTTCACCAGCAATTACGTACTGCATTTCGTCATTCATTAACCCCTTGCAAATCTATAAAAAAAATGACGAAGGATTAGCTAAACCCCATATGCGAAATATTGATTGCCAAAAAAAATATCTTTATTCGAATATTGTTTTGTTAATATGATATTAGCGTGAACAAGGAAGAGACATGACGCAAAAATAAATGCAAATCAAGTCGAAAAAAAACATGCGAATATATATGCGAATCGCACGTCATACGGCCCCTATTCTTCGGCAAGAATTTTACCGACATATTTCAAATGAATGAGGTGATCGGTCCACATTCTATGCTTTTATAGATACTATTGGGATAATAAACCCGTTCTCCAAAATACATATCAGAACCCCATCCACCTTTTATATCATTCTTTATATTTTCGCCTTCATGGTCTTTATTACACATGGGACAAGGTACTGAACTATTAAACACAAATCTATCGCCATAACTCTCACTATACTTCAAGGATAGATGAGGAAAACGCTCTAACACCAACCCAATGATATGTTTTCGTTTCTCTTCGGGATCTTCAGTGAAGAAGAAATAATATTAATATTAGACGAATGAGATGAACTATTAGTCTGAATTTGTTCTGAAGGTACATGATCCTGAAGGGAAGGGTTGTTATAAGGAGTTACTGTTTGATGTTTAAAAACATTGAACGCTAAAGTTCTAGGGGCGGGTTAATTTGATATAAATGAGATTTGTCGTGTTTCACTGAACATGGAACAAAGTTTCTTGAATGAACATAAAATTTGACAAAAATATTGGTATGCGAAAGCTGGGCCGTAAATTAAAATGATGCAATCTCGCGTGGATCACGTGATCCAAATATTGAAAAATTTTAAAACGTAACATCCCCCCTTCCTCTTTTTTCCTCTTTTATAGTATGGCATGTTCAAAAATTTTTTCAGGAGATCTACCTAAATTGATAAGTGAAATTATATAGTATTTTCAGAATGACATTTCAACATTACCCTCATGTATTTTAGTTAAAAGATTATGGTGTCGTTTGGAAGATCCGTTTTCAAGTAAGAATCTTTTCAAAAACCATTGCTTTATTGAAATTTACTTACACAAATTAAATGAAGATGACAAGATAAAATTAAATGAGTATGGAATTATTAGTAATTTATTCCTTTATTTAATCATCCTAGTTTGATTAAACGTTTAGATACATAACTGAAGTTTATAATTCTATAATACCTACATTTTGTTAAAATTCCTGTCAAGTTTTATTTCTTGTCATTAATTAAAGTTGATTTACATACTTTCCCTATAAAAAGGATTCTGGAAATAACTCCGATAAATGATCATTTTCTAGTTTTTATTCCGAAGAAACTCCGACACGTGATCATTTTTCTGAAAAATCCTTTATAGAGTTTGAATTTGAACTTTTATATATTTCTGTATATAGATTGTTTCATCAAGACTTAATGGAAATTTATATCTTAAATTTGTAAGTTATCAATTAAATGAAAATTCGGTCACACTTCAATTTGATATAAAAGTATTAAATTTTTAGAATTTATTTAACTTAAGAATTTTTGGTTAAATAATTTAGAAAAAAAAGAATAAATACTAAGTAGGAGGTAAAAGAGAAAATAAAGACATAATTTCGTGAATAATTAGAGAAAATTTAGCTGTTAGATAACGGCAATAACGAAATTAATATAAGTTTAATTATTACTTCAAGGGACACAATTGATATCATATTACATGGATTAATAATGGCGGTTTTATTGTTAAACAATAATAATTGTTTATATGTTAAAACTACAGAAAAAATAGAATCTATGATTATTAATTTTATTAACATAGCGAGTAAAAGAAAGAGATTGGACGAACGTTATTTTACAGAATTGACGTGGATAGAAAATTGGTTGGAAAAAATGAATAAAACATTGGGAGTGTTTAATAATGAAGAATATATTAAAGCTAACAAATTAGGAATTTAGGATTCAATTAGTGAATTATATGAGCTCGATGATTAATTTCACATTGGAAAGACTTCCCGATTGTTCTATTATAATGATTGGATTGTTAGTTAATGAATTCAAATCTGTATTGGAATAAATTATTAATTTCAGGAGATTTCAGAGAATGGAGTTAAATTGAAGACAAAGGTGAAATACAAAAACGAGATTCTAAATAGTGAATTAGATGAAGATTTATTTTATTATAATTTCTCTTATGAACTAGATTGGAATAAGTCATTATGTTTTGTTAGTGATCAAGATTCATTATAACGTGCATATAAGGTTAAAAATTTGCTGAAAGACTTACCGATTTATGTTAAATTGTTTAAAAGAGGGGTAAATATGATAGATTCCGAGATATGTATAAGATGCGAAAAAGAAGTGGAGGATTGGGATCATGTTTGGACATGTGAAGCAAACGAGTTTACGATAAGAGAAGTAATATTGAACTATAGTGTCCTATGAAGAACAGATGTTGGACGCAGGAGATACTGATCAAGCAGTTATTGTAAGAAATAATAATATTGCCGTTACAAGTATTTTATTTGAAAAATCTTTAATTTTTCTAAACAAAACAAGGGAATGGTAATTTTTATAATAATAGATTCAATAAGATAAGGAAGAAAAAAAGGTGATTTTTAATTTATGGGTCTATTGTTATATATAATCAACTAAAAGTTAAAATTTGGATTAAGAGGTGTGAGGAAGTCGTCGACAAGAGAGTTAGGAAGGATACAAAAGAAGGAATAAATAATAATAATAATAAACAAAAAAAAAAAAAGAAGAAAATAACAAAAGCATTAACGGAAAAAATTCAATAAAATTATAAAATGATGAATAGTATTTTCGATAATAGATCTATACAGTATTTTCAGTATGTCATTTATGAAAATTAGTTATTAGGTAGGGATTAGAATAGATTACATAATTTATTGGTAATTTTTAGTTCATAGTTTTTTAGATAGATTGGTTAGTTATAGGGTTATCGATAAGTTATTATTGGTATCTTGTACAATTATGTAATCTTTTATGATTCAAATAATTAATAAAATGCGTTACTAATTTTTTCTTTTAAAAAAAGAAAAATTAGTGGTTAAATATTATGATTGGTCTTAATCATTGATTTGTTCTTACAGGCAGTGTAGTGGACGGACTTGACCTTTGACATGTTAAATTATAGATAAGCAGCAAACGGTAGAAATGATATATCAAAGCTGTATTTCTCATATATATGTTTTATGATATTATTTTAGTACTTTAATTCTACAGCAAAGTATTAATTATTATAAGTCTAAATTCACCCAATTATTATATTGATGAAGATTTTTATTAAGTTGTATATACTTTGTATGTACACTTGTTTGTTGTTATTTCTTATGTTTTTCTGAATAGTAATGCAAATACTAGAATAACTAGATATTATAGAAATTTATAAAATGATATCATTTATGTGATTTGTATGAAAAATAACAGCTTTCAAACCTTTTAGCTTGAGCTAACTGAATATACTATGTGGAGCTTTTTTTTACGATAAAATAAAAGATATATAGATCAAGCAATCAAAAATATTGAAAATAATTACGAGTTATTATTATAATTAAGTTTATCTAAAAAGAAAATTACCTAAATCTTGACTCTTGCAAATTTATCAAATAATGTAAATTTATCCATTTTTTTATATAGTGTATTCATCAGATTTTCTATAGGACGCTTTGAACGCTATTGGAAATTTGAATAGAATTTTTTCTTCATATCTCTTGAATAACATAATGATTTTTATCACGTAAACACTACGCATCTTTTGATATTTATTATATGATTACTTCTAATATTTCCTTGCTAGTGATTTACAGAACTATTTTTTTTACATATAAAAATCCAATCAAAATAAAGTGATTAGCCCAATTTAATTTATGTATAACGGCGGTTATCAACATAAATAGAAATTATTAAATGAAAAATTGCCTGAGCATTTGGAAAGAAAATTTATTTTAAAAAATATTTTAGTCGTTTCTAGCTGATTTATTTAATTTTTGCACATTGTTCATCTTTAAATTATAGCAAATCAGGCAGGTAATTATAAATTTTGCACATAGACGTAAATTCTATATTATATAACTTAAATTCTTTCGCTTCATTTGCTAATACTTGTTCAGTTACATTAATAGCTAAGTACTTAACTCTTTTCTTTTTCATAATATACTTCTTTATACATCGTAAAATATCATCACTCCATGAACTAATCGATAATATCAATTTTTCAATAAAAGTATTTTTTAAATTTTTTAAAAATACTTCTAAATCAATACTACTATATGCGTTATAAAAATCCAAACATAAATATTCCAAACTACAAGGAAGAATTTGACCTAAATTCAGTAATATAATTGAAGAAAACTCATTATTTCTACTTTCTATAGTAAGATAATTAAGATTTTGTTTGAAATTTTTGATTGAATTCAACACCAAATGAGCACTCTGAATACTAAATACATCTGAATTAAAATGTTTAACATTCTTACAATAATTTTTAATTAATTCCAATGATTTTTCCTTCAATTCCTTCAATTCAGCATACTTAAAATCAATAGAATAAAACAATCCAATATTTTCTAAATATTTTCCAGATTTTTGAAATAATAATTGCATTGAATTAATTATTAATGTTATATCATAATTCTCTGAATAATAATTACGTTCAATAATTCTTTCACCCACAAATAAAGATTTCAACTTAAATGGTTTAGTAATATGAATAATTTGTTGAACAAATCTATGAATTTTAAAAGAACAATAAATTATATGAATAGATTCTAAAACATTTAATTGTTCAAATACTTCTTTTAAAGAAGTGATTTTTTCAAAATTAATTTTATAAAATATAATTGTTTCTAAAGTATTTAAACAATTAGAATCTTTTAATGACAATAATAAATGATTTAAGTGAGTTACATTAGTACTAGTATCACAATCTTCAAAAATTAATTTTTTGAGATTATGTTGTGAATTAATTACTTGAGATGAATAATTTTTAATTAATTCATTAATTTTAATATTATTATTAATTTGTTGAAATTGAAAATGAAATTTTGAAATTGAATTGTGATTAGAAAGTAATAATTTTAATAAAGCTGTAACCTCATTATTAGATATAAAAGTAATAAATAAATTTCTGATGTTATGAATAAATTTTGGATTTTGCAAAATTATCTCCAAAATAATATTTTCATAGTAATTTCCATTGAATTCAAAAGTATGTAAATTTGCTTCATTCTTAACAAATCTTTCAATTAAAGATGTGTAAATTAATCTTAAAAGTTGCTGTTGAGATGACTGCCCTATAAAAAATTTTTCAAAAAAATGATCACGTGTCTTAGTCTCTTTGGAATAAAAACCAGAAAAATGATCATTTATTATCGGAGTTTTTCCAGAATTTTTTTTATAGGGCTGATATAAATATTCGTTCTTAATACTCATCCAATCCTCAATAGATGATTTAAAGTCGCATGTTTTTAAACATTTAAAAAAACTAGAATAATTAAATAATGTATTTGATGAAAATACACTTATTTTGATTCCATATTCATTTAATTTTGTTTTATCATCTTCACTTAAATTATGTAAGTAAACATCAATATAACAATAATTTTTAGGATATTTTATTGAAAATGGATTTTTCCATAAAAATGGAATTGCTAAACGACACCATAATTTATTAATCAAAATACATGAGTGTAATGTTCTATAATCATCTTGCAAGTATTGTATGATATCATTTAATAATTCAGGCATATATCCTAAAAGTATTTTTGAACTTGCCATATTGTAAAGGAAGTTGCCATATTGTAATAAAGGAAGAAGAGAAAGAGGGAAAGAAAAAAGTGGACTTAAATAAACGGGTAATGTAAGCATAGTTACCAATGATGCAGAAATCACTTAATCAAATAACTTCAAAATGACTAGTTATTTGTCATTTATTCAATAGAGAATATTGTCATATCATATCACTGTTCTTCAATTGTTAAACACAATTTTTTTTTTATTATATTGACTCAAAAAATGGTTCAGAATATATATTTGTTAATAAGATCATAATTATGTGTTATTTGTATGTAATAAAAATTTAAATCATATTATCATACATACATATATGTATTATTATATATTGTAATAAGTATATACATCAGAAGCTGGGGTTGTTAAAAAAGAAAGAAGAAAATGCATGGGCATAAAACGCTAAATACATTGATTCATAATGAAGTTTATTTTGATCCAGATGATTGGTATCCTTGCCTAGATATCCTTTTCATCTGTTAATTTTCGTTACAACACTACATTATCCATACATCTGCAGATGATCGAAATTTACTATGTTTTTAATAGTCTTTTTTTCAACAAATAACTCTATATTATTGGATGGGAGTAATTATAAACAAGTTGAGAATAAAACTATTACGTATGTATAAAATTAGATTAATAAAGGATATATATGATAACAACAAATTAATTACTTTAATAATTTTAGTCTTTATCTTGGAAGTTTAGAATCAAAGTGTAGATTTAAGCAAAATGGAGAGTACAACAAATAAAAAAAGTAAAGGCAAAGAAAAAGAAGGAGGCAAAACAGACAAAAACCACCAAAAAGTTTATGATAATAATTATTTAAATTTAGATTATCATGAAAATGATAGTAAAGAACAACAATTTTATCTTCATTTTTATTTTTAACATAATTACAGAAACAGAGGTACAAACAATATGTAGCAATTACTCTAAATTAAAGAAGTTGACACCTGATCCCACACGTGAGATCGTCCCGTCTAATACAAAACATGAACTATTTTAGGCATAACAGTTCTATCCGTAGTATTAAAAGAAAAAATAACAAAGGGTAGCAAAAAATCCTGTCTAATACTTTCACGATTATTACTATCCCTCCCGTATTGATCTTTCATTCATTCTATTTATAAATACTTCCATAGACGGAATGGTACTTTAATAAAAAACTATGGTATTATACTATTGAAAGGTGGTCTATCGGAGGGACGAAGGGAGATGATAAACACTTTTCCTTTTAGATCCAGAGACGGGAGTGTCAGGTTCGTCAATGATGTTTTCTTTAGACCGTTTATGGTTAAAAGTGTTCTCATCTTCGCTATCACTTGGCGACAGAGAGCGCTTGATAAAGATGTTGTTTCTCTTTAGGTACCTAGCGTCTTTTTTGTTCAGGCGAAATTTGTACCTACTTTGCATGTTGGAAATAACATCGCTAACACGTGTGAAAGCATTGATGTTAGTTAAGGGTGATGAAATGGTAGTGAGGGAAGTGGTTTGTGTATAAGATGGGTTATTAAATATAAATGTTGATGATATTGTAGTTGTAGATGATGATGATGGGTTAGCTATGAACATTGATGGTCCAGCGTTGTTAGAGTAGATGTTCATCGGGTTCCCTTGGGCCATGTCGACCGGCAGGGAAACTTGATGTGGGTTGTCGTTTGATTGTTGATTATGTGAAGCTTTAGATAGCCGCAGCTTTATCTGCTTTTCGTCTAGCGGATTCTTTCGTTGTTTTTTATCATTAGCTAGACGTTTTTCATGCTAAAATATTAATATTACAAGATCACATTCAATAAAAAAGGGAAAATCTGACACGACAATTAGTTATGCAGGATATAATATAACTCCTTAACCTCTTATAAATAATACTAATACTTTATGAAGAAAAAAAATACTGAACTAAACATGAGTTTTGTATTAAGTTATCAACAGTGAAGACATTGAAAATATTTTAATTGTAAAATTGGGCATTATATAGTATCTCTTATATCAGAAGGTGATAGTTACATAAGGGTTTACATATTAAATCAGAAAAAGGACACTCTTCTTTTGACATAGCATGTTTAATAATATTTCATATTTGTAATGTATAAGAACAAACTATTTAGTGTTAATTATATTTACAATAAAATACATGATCTATTATAGCGAAAGTAAGTAAAATGTAGTATCTTAATAGTTTATTATATTTTAAAAATAATAAAACTAAAAGTACATAAAATAACTTTATAACATTTTTTTTTGCCAATAAAAAATACATCTTGATAAAATAAAAATTACCATAAATAATTTAACGCAAAAATTATAAACGTAAATTTAATATATATTTGTATAACTATAGGACCCCGAGTTATAATATATATAGGTCAGATAGGTCAGAGGAAGAGCGGCACACATTTACTACTGTACTATTAGCTCTATATGTAATGCTGGTCGGCATTATCCACAAATGGAAGCGATCTACATGATTTTGGCTCATTCTCCGGATCATGTGCGCAGAACCATTTTTTTACATGGTGACCTCGAGTGTCACCTGTCTTGTGTCCCGGGAGAAGAAGATGGGATAAAGTTTTTATTGGTTTATAGGGGCGCAGTAAAACATGTTCCGGGTAGGTTTTTGTTTATTTTTTTTTCTTGACTAGTAGGTGTAGTGGTTGAGCTCATAACGATAAAAGGAAAAGAAAAGGTATTATGAATAGGATAAGAGAACTATCTAGGCGAGGCCAGTCGTGAAAAAATTTGCTCCTAAAATTTTATAACTTTTTATTTCAAGTTAAAGTGCATGTACTCAACGTAAAAAAGAGTTAATAAAGTGTTTCTTGGGTTGGCGTGTTGTTAAAAAAATGTTGTAAGAACTTTTTTTAAGTGTTTTTTCTGTTAAAAGAGCCGTGTTGAAAGCAAGCAAACGGTCGTGAAATATTTTGCGCAAAAAATTACTTTGAGACCATAAGAAAAATTTTTCAGTAAATGATCACGTGTCTGAGTTTCTTTCGGAATAAAACTAGAAAAATGATCATTTATCAGAGGTTTTTCCAGAATTTTTTTTTATAGGGAAAGAAAAGAAGCTTCAAATTTTATCAAAAGCTTCTGTTAGAAAAGCTGTTGCTGAAGCTAAAGCTTTATAATTAGCTCATTTAGTAACGAAAAAGGAATTAGGATTATAATGTAGGCAAGAAATCCTATATAATTTTTTTATAGGTAATTTGGTATTTTGCAGCTTCAATTTTTTTTTACTTAAGTTCTGCGAGAAAATTCAAAAAAATTCAAAAATTTAATAAAGAATGAATACATTTTGCAAAAAGCTTAAATATGATTATTCTTATGTGCATTTATCTTTAAATAAATAAATTACAAGCTAGTATAACAAATAAAAATATCTATTTATATTTTTATTTTCATATTTTAAAGAAGGAGTGTATTGCAAGACGTACGAACTACATACTATTTTTCTAAATCATAATGTCCATTAATTGTTAAAATTATTAGTAATCTCATAAACGTGATTTCCTGAAATAGCTTTTAATATTTTTAAGCATTTGTAGCATTTTTCAAAATAGCTCCTTTTTCATTTAAAAATTTTCAACTTTCTCAAATAGAAAGAAATTTATATCATCTATACAATTGATTATACAACCTATCCCTTCCCACGTGATAAATGCAGATCGTTTGTATCGTTAATCAGTTTCACTCGCCATTCCGTCAGTTTCATAACCTTCCTATTTTAGATTTTTCACTGCGCCATCCGCAGTCATTTTCAAAGGTTAAAAAAATGAAATTCCGTTACCTTTTCTTTATAGAAATCAGAAAATTCTAATTATGAAACACAACAGTCTAATTTGATAAACAAGGAAAGATCTTTACTTAATTTGGAAATTTTTTAAAAGTTTGATTCTCGCTTTATTTGGAGATTACAAAAAAATTACGGAAAATTATTTAACCGATGCAATTAATTTGTGTGATTATGTCATAACACTCTTTGTCGATCACTTCCTATTTAGGGTCTAGTATTTATAAAATTTGTCACTCCTTTTATATGTTATAGCAGAATGGAAAAATATTGACAAAAAGGCGCTTTACCAACAGAGCTGACACATTTTACATTTTTTCATTTTTTCGATATTTATTCAACGCGAGTTTTAAGTGTCCGAACGGTAGCTGTCTAATAAACGAAGTTTAATAGTATTAATAAGACGGGTATAAAACTTTGAGGAAAATTTTTTTCCTAAATATATATAAATATTATTATATAATTTAAACATTCAGATTTTTATAAGCTACTTTCTCAAATATATTATTATGAACACAAATAATAATTCATCACCAAGATTAAAGTCTAGTCCTTTACCTGTTTTGTTTATCCCCTTTAAGAAAAAGGAGGAAAATTGTTTTTATTGTAAAAATAAATACTCCCAGACACTTGAATTTGAACAAAAATATTGCAGAAATTGTTTATTTCAGTATATTAAAAACGTAACATATAATACATGTAATGATACATACTTGGATACGAATATAGCAGCAAATAGGTGCGCTAAGTGTATTGAACATCATACAAAGAACATTCAAGAATGGTGTCAATATTGTTCTGAGGTTTCATATTTTAGACAAATAATCCCAAATACCCCGTCATTCAATGATTACTATTGTACTCATAATAAAATAGTTTGTGAATTATGTGATAAAGAATGGTTATTTAAACATAATCAAGATAGTTATCGGCTTTCTTCCGGTTGGGTAGAATCAATTTTAACTAAAAAACCTATTTCAATTTTAAATTTACCATGGTGGGATAATTCTAACAAATGTGTAATTTGTCAACTAGAACTAGAATACATACAACAAGAGTCAGAATCTTATTGTCAAAAATGGTGTTACAAATTGCTATATAGTTTATAGTGGGTGTAGGTATTGTTTAACGACTAATATTATTTTCGGAATTACATACCAATCTCAATGTAAGAAATGTAAAAGAATATCATTAATTACTATTGATATTACAAATATAAGTAGTGGAAATTGTATTATAGATGAATTTCTTTTTAGAATTGATGATAATAGTCATCATTTGATTGCTAATTATATAAATAATTATACAAGTTCAAATCCATTAAAAGTATATAATTTCATTAAAAGATCTTATTTAAGAGGAATAACATGGATTCCATATTCTAAAATTAAAAATTTAAAGAAAATAGCAGAAGGAGGATTTAGTACAATTTATAAAGCAACTTGGTCAAACGGTACACGTGATAGTGATGTTGCCATAAAAAGATTAATCAATTCACGAGGTATCAATAAATATTTTTTAAATGAGGTAAAATTTTAATATTTAATATTTTTGCATTGTTTATATAACATATATTAACATATTTATTATTTATACTTTAGCTAAAATCATTTTATCATTGTCATGATGAATCATATCTTGTTAAATGTTATGGTATTACACAAGATCCTGTAACAAAAGAGTATATGCTTGTAATGGAATATGCATATGGTGGAAATTTATACAGTTATTTGCAAAAGAATTTTAAAGAAATAAAATGGGGAAAAAAATTAAGAATTTTAGTGGATATTGCACTTGGGTATTTATAGAATTTTTAATGCATGTATTTGCTATTTATATTTAATTTATTAATTACTAAATTTTTTATTTTAGACTTGAAAAAATTCATAATAATAATTTTATACATCGTGATATTCATAGTGGAAATATATTATTAATGATACTGGAAGACTGGAAAATTGGAGACTTAGGATTATCACAACCTGCAAATAACTCTTCATTAAACAATGAAATATATGGAGTAATACCTTATATTGCACCAGAGATATTTAAAGGTGGTGTATTTTCAAAAGAATCTGATATATATGGTTTGGGTATGATTATGTGGGAACTTACAACAGGATGTAAACCATTTGCTAATGTTGAGCATAATGTTAATCTAATTTATGAAATTATTGATGGAAAACGTCCTGAAATTACAAATGATACTCCTGATTGTTTTTCCAATTTAATGATAAAATGTTGGGATTCTAATCCTCAAAAAAGACCAACTATTGGCAAAATAATTGAAATCCTTAATTCTTTTAACAAATGGGGTAATGAATTGGATTTTATAACCAAAGCTTTTTTTAACAATGGACTGTTTTATGAACAGTGCTTTACAACTAAAAATAGTATTATTGAGAAAGCATTTATAAATGCTGAAGCAAAAAGATTAGAATTAATACAATTAAAGAAACTTGGACCCGAATTTAGTAAAAAATCTCATCCAAAAGCAATTTATACAAGCAGAGCGTTAAGTTCCGTGATTTCTGAAACTGGTATGTTGCAATATATTCGTTATTAGTAGTAATTAACTATTAATGTAAAAGACATGAAACATTAATTGGACGACCTTTTATTAATTTATAGGATATATTACAAAAGAATATGAATATGATATAAATAATATTCGAAGGTAATTATTAATATAATGAGTATAAATTATGAAAAATATAAATTTCATTATGCATTTTTTAGTTCATTAACACAAAATACGGACTCCGTTTCTCAAAGCACAACCGTACCTGTAGAATTTTCAAGAAAGCGTAAGTTTGATGAAGAAACACAAAAAAAAGGTAATTAAATTTTTTATAATCTTTATAGTACGTCACGTTGACAATTTTAAATTTTTTTTTAACCAAAATAGGCAAATATATTAAAGCTGATAAGTAACTTCACTACCTTGTTCTATAATTTTCTGTGTTGGATTTTATAACTTAACAATTAATTTTTGAGTAGATAAATAGTGTTTATATTTCCGTGATATTTCTATTAATTATTTTTAAATAAAGTATAAATTAAACGTTAACATATAAATATGACAAAAATCATCGTTTTCGAAGAAGCTTTAGGAAGTGAAACAGAATTGGAATTATAAAAAAAATTTTTGAGTTTAAACAATTCCTGCGACAATTCTTCAAATGCATTATTTAATTATTCTAATTTTATCAAACGTTTAGGTACACAAAATACTTGTCTCTCAATTGGATTAAAAACTTAAAATATCTATTGAATATGATACTAATATTCCATATACTCGTCGTTAGGTAGCGAATATTTTAATTCTATTTTGAGTTATCTTAAAAAATCCAAATTTCATTAGTAATATGAGAAATTTAAAACTCCATTTTAATGAAGGGAATTTTTATTCTAATTGTAATTATAAGTTATTGTGCTTGCAACGATTAATATCACAATTATTAACCAATTATAGCGTCACGTAGTGGTCAAATCTGTCCAATCAGAATACTAGAATTGGTTGATAATAGTATATTTATCAACGCAAAGCACAATAACGATATTATCGTGTGGCCCATTGACGTTAGCTTAATTATAGCTTAACGTTAATTATAGCTTATTTTTGATTTTTTAAAAATAACAAAATTATCGGCAATTATATTTAATATACGGAGCACGATAATAGATGAAATTAAGGAATTTGCATCTAAAATTAAACAATATTTATGTATTAAAGCCTATATTAGAGTCTAGAGATGTATTAATTATTGTTCAAAAGACATTCTATAGACAATTTGATATACAACCCATGTAATATTCCATGTACGTCATTCTTTTCACCCCTGCATTTTCCTTTTTTTATTGTATATCTCCTTTTTGTGTATCTGCGTAACGATGTTAGATATAATTACTCATACAGTCACTGTATTGGTCATATGAATAAAAGTTTACTTAACGCGAAAAAAATTTTTATGACACATAACACCTAATCTTTTAATGTGGGATTTGTCATGAGTATATAATTTAAATAATATTTATCTTTTTTTTTAGGTCTTTTTATCTTCTTTTTTTTAGGTCTGTCTTCTCTCTGTCTAGGTCTCCTCTTTATTCTTACGTTTTCCTTTAGGTATGTTGGCTGTTGTGTGTAGGTTTGCGTGTAGGGGTTTGTGTGTGTATGTTTGTGTATTTTCTTGCTCTTTCCCTTTCCCTTTTGTTTCCCTTTCCCTCTCGTTATCCCCTTTCCCTCTCGTTATTCCCTTTCCCACTCGTTTTCCCCTTTCCCACTCGTTATCCCTTTCCCTCTCGTTATTCCCTTTCCCTTTCGTTTTCCCCTTTCCACTCGTTATCGCCTTTCCCTCTCGTTTTCCCCTTTCCCACTCGTTTTCCCCTTTCCCTCTCGTTTTCCCTTTCCCACTCGTTTTCCCCTTCCCTCTCGTTTTCCCTTTCCCTCTTGTTATTCCCTTTCCCTCTTTCCCACTCGTTTTCCCCTTTCCCACTCGTTATCCCCTTTCCCACTCGTTTTCCCCTTTCCCTCTCGTTATCCCCTTTCCCTTTCGTTCCCCTTTCCCTTTCGTTATTCCCCCCTGATCAATGTTGCTGCACCTCAACGTGGTGATCAGGTGACAACAAGTTTTTTAAAGACTTGGCTAAGTCAGCAACAAACGTTAATTAGAGAATTATTACATTTATTCATTCATCTTTTTGTTAGTTTTCAGTTTATAGTAGGTATAAAACAGAATAAAAGATTATTGGAGCAAAAAAAAAAAATTTATTTCGTATGATAAAAGTAATTTTCATGATGGATTATAGAATTTTAGATATGGTGACACAAAATTCCTGTTGTCCGTCCGCTCGCTTCTCGCAGCATGAGTCGATAAAGTATTCATAATATAGCCGCTTGATTCTTTTATACTACCGTGACCCGAAGGTCACAGTTGTTGAGAAATTTTTGTGCTGCGGATAATATTACATGATCAATATTGTACTACGGTGAGCATGCTCGCCGATGATAAATAAAATCTAGAATTGCAAAGTAACTAAGGAACAACTTTTTATCCCGAAAGTATTCATTAATTTATTCACGGATTTAATTAATCGTGAATTTTATTCATGGTTTTTTCCCAACTCTTCTGAAATCATCCGATCGTCCCTGATGAGCTGGTATTCGCCAGGTTTTATATTTATATTTTCTTATGTTTAATGGTTGGTATTATAAGTAAAAGATCTAAAAATTGTGGTAAAAAATAAACCAATCACATTTGACTGGTCCAGGATAACCTTTATCATCCTTTAATTCTATTCGTTCCTTCAGAAACTTTTATTACCAATTTGTGATTCTTTTTTTTACAATATTCCACTTTTTTTTTATTTTAAAAGAGCAACACCAATATTTCACTTCTTTATAATTTAAAAATTAGTAATGCCAATATTTCACTTTTACTCCATAATGATAATTAATTTTCTATATGATACTTTATATTATATTTATTATCGTTTTTAAAGTGTATAAATAAAACAGTGCTACTAGGTATAGGACTATGTTTCATAGTGGTTTTAATGTACACTACTATAGTGTTTTCCGGTTAAACATCCATTTTTGCTTGTGTAGACGCCAAAGCAACTTAAGAACGACATCATCCTTCATGTGCTAGTGCACCATATATCCGAAAGCAGGATCTTAGAAGTGTGTTATAAACTGTGATTTTTCTTTTTATTTTCTTTTGTGGAAATATTTAATAAATGTAATAAATAATTTTTCGAATATAATACACAATTCGAAAATAATGTTTTTTTAGCGCATATTTCCTGAATTCCTGAATATATTCACTTACAATACAGGTCACATGATTCGTGATCGAAAAAGTGTAAAAATTATCAAAAATTATCCACAATTGAAATTTATCTAAATGTTGATCTAAAAATTAATAAAGTTAGTATGCATATCACGTACGTCAATCACTGGATCGCCTCGTTACAGGTTTTGTTACATTCATCCTAATAAAGTAGTTACCATAATACTTTGACGTCTGTAAAACATGAATGATGTACACGTTTACTCGTATAACATAAATAATATTTTCTTAAAAAATACCATTTTTAGGATTTTAGGCAGAATGAGAATAAGCAAATTACTTTATATTCCCTAATTTGGTTTCGCTTTTGTTGTTAAATTTCCCAAAAAATTTTTTACGTAATTATTTTGTCACGAACATATCTATAATATAAATAATTTCTTATTCTTTTTTTTTTAATTATTCTCGTTGAATAATTCATCTCTCTTTTTCACAAAATATGAAAGTTCAAACGAAAATTATCCATTTACTTATAATAATCTTTTCAACTTTATTAATTTTGATATCAGCCCGAAAAACTTCACATGACAATTCTAAAAAACTAGGACTAGTCAAAAGAAATTCACCATCAAGGTAAGGAATTTTTTAAAAAAAAATAATGAATATATTGTATGAATAAAAATAGTTTAATAACTTTTAGGGGTTGGAGAAAGCCAAATATAAGATCACTACAGAACCGCTTACAATCACGCCAAGTTACAGTCTCTGAAGGATCAACGTTCTCACAGCTGTCACCACCAGCCACTGCTGCTAAAGCACCATCATCGCCTTCATCTAATAAACCACCACCTCCTCCTCCTGCACCTAAATCACCAGCTCCACCCCCTCCTGCGCCTAAAAAAGCACCATCTCCACCCCCTCCTGCACCCAAAAAAACACCTCCACTTCCTCCCGCGCCTAAAAAAGCACCACCATCATCTCCATCATCTACAGAGTCTGTTTTCCCATCACCTACAACTACATCGTCTTCATTACCACTATCAAAAACACCCAAAGTCACATTATCATCATCATCAGCAATAGCAGGATCGCCATCATCAATAATAAGAAGCGCTACCACCAGTTTCTACTTAACTCTACTGGTACAACTAGTTGTATTATTATTTTATGTTTAAGAACATTAAATTGTGGTGTTATAATTTTTTAATTATGTATATTCATCTAAAACAATAAATTGATATCGTATACTGTCATTGGAGATTAACGTTTACTTTTTTGAGTTGTTTAAATTATTTTACCATTTTTTAAAAATAAATTCCTGAACGTACAAAATACCCGCTTTTGAAGATGAGGCACATCAAATTTCAGACCAGCAATTTTATACATTTATTCGAACGTTGATTTGTTCTGTCGCCAAAAAATCATGGCTGCCTTCAATAAAATTATTTGTAAAAATGTATTTAACAAATGCTATTTAATTCCATTTATACTCTACCATACTGTATTTATGTTGCATAAGAGACAAAAATAAGTTATTAAAATCGCGCAATATGAGCGCTATTCGAACCATCTTACTCGATAGTATGGCATAATTTTTTATCTATAAATTCCATATCCTTTTTTTTTCTGTATTGTGCTTACACACTGCTTACGGTATTGAATATATAGAACGTGTTTATTTATTTATTTATGGTAATTATGTACATCAGATGGAATTTCCATTAATCTTGATATGAATTACTCTATATAGGAGGAATATTACAGCGATCGTTATGGAATAATTATTTATATCTTTTCAACTATTAATAGCATTGATCGTTACAACTCCCTTGAGGTATTATCATCATCATCATTCTTTGCAGAATAATTCTTTGTATCCTTTGAACTATCAACATCAGCAATCTCTGCGGAAGAATTGTTTGTATCTTTTGGACTATCAATACCGGCGCTTTCTTCAGAAGAATTATTTTTATTTTTTAAATTATCAACAGGAGCAACTGCTCCAGAAGAATCTTTTGAATCCTTTGAACTATCAATAGTAGCAATCGTTACATTTTTTGAATCATCAATAGTAGCAATCTTTACAACACTTTTTGAATCATCAATAGTAGCAATCTTTACAACACTTTTTGAATCATCAATAGTAGCAATCTTTACAATACTTTTTGAATCATCAATGGTAGCAATTGCTACATCATTATTTGTAGGCGATGCGTTAATATGTCTAAAATTAAAAATTAAAGTTGTTAGAAATTATGTATAATTATATACAATATATAACTTTTTCTTTCAACCTACAGATTAATAGTTGAAGAGTTATCCATAGTAGCAGTAGATACATGGGTAGGTCTCGTCTCGATTGGCTTAATAGGACTTTGTGATTTTTGTACATTTTCTAAAACATTTGCTTCCCTAAAAATTTAAGCATAATAAAATATGTATTTATGTATGTATTTAATTAATATATTTGACTATTTTTAATTAAATAAATTTTTTTTTTTTTTTTCATACTTTGGAAGTTCTTTATCCTCTTTTGTATGATTAGTTGAAACTGGATTCTGATCATATATTGTTTTTTCTGGTAATACATCATAAGGATTTTCTTGTACTAAAAATGTAAGGGTTATTATTATTGAAAAGAGAATAAATATTAAGATAAAAATTTTCTCTTTGAACTTCATTTTAAGATGATGACATTAATAATAATAAAAAAAAAGAGACATAAAATAAGGGAGAGAGTGTGAGAAAGAAAATATAGTAAATAGTAAAATATCCCCAATATTGCCGTCCCAAAATCTGACAGGAAAAAAAAAAAAATACATAAATTATACGTAGTATGCTATATTATTGTATAAACATTTTGAGCAACACAACAACTAATTTTGAAAACCGTATTTTGACATTTATAAAATCAATAAAAGAATTAATAAATGTTATTCTTAGATTATCCATTCATTTATTTACTATTTAAACTTGTTAAATGGTAACACAAATGTCACATGTCAAAAAGAAAAATCCAAAAGAATACCCAAATTCAGAAATATTATCGGTGCCGAATTCCGGAGGCTTTTCAACTAACTAATGGGGAAATTTTGATAAGGTTTTTTATATTTGTTAGATCAAGAAAAATGAAACAACTAATAAAAATAATGTGTAAAGAATAAATTAAAAAGGATAATTTGATCAACATTCAACATAATTATGACCAAAAATAACGCCCGTGAAAAAAAAAAAAAATAATAATAATTAGAAATTAAAAAAAAAAATCCGAATTTTTTTTGTTTGTGATATTTTTTTATATAGTAAATACAAATTTATTAAATCATGTATTGTTTATATATATACTTTTCCTATATTTCCCGTTAATAAAAACTTCCCGTTAATGACATTTCATTAAATATGTAAATATAAACAGAAAATCATTTCTAAGTTTTGATCTCCTTTGTTTACCTTTTCGATTTTTTGATAAAAAACCGAGGACCCATTATAATAATGAGAGTCCTTTTACTCTGCATGTAATTATAAAAGTCTGAACACAAACCTTTTATGATTAAGGGATATATAAAAATTTATTTTTAACGAAAAAAATTTTTTTTTTCTTCCTTTTTCTCTTTACTTTAAAAAATAAAAACTAAAAAATTTTATCTCCAAAACAAGAATACTTAGTTTTTTTTTATTTTAATGTAAAAATTTAATATTAACGCTGTATTTATAAGAGAAATTTGATGATGGTTAATTATGGAACTATACATATATTTATTCATAATAAGTTTAGTTTTAACACCTGTTGAACCACTTTTACCTGAACCAAGATACGGACATTCAAGTACATTAGTTGGTACAAAATTATATTTCTTTGGAGGATTAGGTTCAGGTTCAGAAAATAATAGTTTATCCACACAAACATTTTTTTTAGATGTTTCAAAACCATTCAGAATAGATAATCCACCATGGACAATCGTACAATCACCTATTCCAGTAGGAATATCACAAGCACAATCATTCGCGGGAGGTAATTCAAAGGATCAAATATTTCTTTATGGAGGAGAAAGAAAAAATCCAACAAATTTTTCCCTCATTTATGATAATATAATTTATTTATTTGATACGAGAACTCAGTCATGGAATATACCACCTATTGGAGTTGTTCCATCATTAAGAAGAAAAATGCAAATTCCTGTTGATAATAATGGTGAAGCATATTTATTTGGTGGTCAAGATGAATATAATGTATTTAAAGATATGAATATATTTGATTCAATTAATTTAAGATGGAGTTTAAATATTTCAGCTAATGATTTCACTACACCACGTCAACGTAGTGATTATACGGCTACACTATTAAAGAATGGTATGATAATTTATATTGGAGGATGGGAAATTAATGATAAGGGTTTACCTGATTATGTTGACATGAGTCAATTATCAATATTTGATACTAAACAGTCTTTATGGGGTATTACACAAGCCGATGGAGATCAAATTGGTCCAAGAAGGGGTCATCAAGCTGCTTTAACTAGTGACGAAAAAATAATAATTTATGGTGGAGTAATTGATGGAGGGGTAAATAATGAAACTTGGGTATCCGCCTCACCCGTTTTAGCCGTCTTAGATACGAAAAAAGGAAAATTTCGTTGGTCTATACCACAAACGTATGGAAAAGAACCACCTCCACTTATATATTCTACATCTATCGTGATCGGTGACTATATGATTATGACATTTGGTAATATAACTAATTCTTTAACAAACCCATTAGAAACTTCATCAGGATTATATTTATTAGATACAAGAAATTTTACTTGGGTAGATACTTTTGAACCTCCAAAACCATCAAGTCCATCATATACTCTTATCATAATTATCGTAGGTTCAGTAGCAGGATTTATAATTTTAGTCATTATACTTACTGCCTTTATATGTTTCTATAAAAGAAAGAAAAAAAAGAATGAAAAAGATGATGATGATGATAATAAAACTAATGATACGAGTTCTGCTATTATTACTCCTGGTAGTGACCATTTTCTATCTCAAAATAATAATATTCAAGATAATCAAAATACTCAAAATTCTCAAAATTCGGCACAATTTTCATTTACGAATTCGATTAATACTAGTCAAACTAGTTCTAATAGAGGCAGTGATGGATTGGATGGCATGTATTATGATAGACATTCACCTCAAATGGCACCTCAAATGGCACAAATGAATAAAAAAGTTCGAAGAGGGAGCGGACAACAATACTATCAAAATTATAGTAATTATAGCAGTAATAATGGTTATGATGCTAGTAGTGGTCGTGGTAGCGGTAGCGGTAGCGGTGGTTATAATAATAATAATAATGTATATAACGAATTTATTGGTTATAACATTCCATTACAACAACGGTATTCACCTAATCAACCACAAATAGTACAAAATGATGTATATTCCGGTGTGGTCCCACAACATGGCTTCATTCCTCAACAAGGATATTATCCACATCAAGATCCTATATCAACTTATAATGAACATGATCAACCACCTGTTCCTTTTTATCATTCTTCAAACGCTAACATGAATGCTGCTTCTTCATATTCACCTTATATTAATCCTTCACATTCACCAACTTATAATTCCCCATATTTTCCTCCCAATCCTCCCAATCCTCCTTCACATACTCCTCCATTTTATAATCCTTCGTATACTCCCCCATATAATACTTCATATTCCCCTTCTTCACACTCTCCACCGTTTCCTTTTAATAATCCTTCACCTACTCAATTAAATATCAATGATTCTAATAGAAATAGCCCACATAGTAATGATTCTACAAATATTCCTCCCAGCAGTGATTTTAATAGTAGTAACAGAAGAGATAGCTCTAATCCTACGATTTCTAGATCTGGAAGTTTCGTTGATAGAATAAGAAGAATTGGTAGTGGTAGAAGAAATAGAAATTCTTCTAATACTACAACTACTACTAATAATACCACGAGTAGTAGAAGTAGTTATACTAGAAGCGGATTAATCAATACACGCAGTAATGATTATACTTACAATTACGGTGATTATCGAGAGAGGAGGTAGTTATTAAAAAGGAAAAAATAGAATTAATTTACGTATAGATATTAACTTACTGTAGAACAGTATTATAAATAAATGAGGGAGGGAATAAAATGGTTGAATAATTTTTTTTTCTTCCTCTTTTTTTTTTTTCCTGTATATTAAAATTTAAATTTATTTTCTGCGAAAATAATTTTTTTACACTTTCTTTTCTTTTCTTTTTATTTTATTTATTTTCATTTTATTGTACAAAATTCATTTATTTGATCAAAAGAAAAAAAAATATATTCATTTAAGACGCGTTTCTGAACCAATCAATTTGATGTGCTCAATGTTCTACAAATTATAAGTGACGCAGTTTTAGTTCTAACAGAAAATAGATCAACTTTCATTTTGTTCACACGAAAAAAAAAATTGGAAGTAGAGCGGAGAAACCTTCGTTATATTTGTGAAATAAAAACTATCCATAAGCACTATACCGAAACGTCTGAAATCGACAGAATGTACGGACAAAAATTTCGAATTGACTGGTTGTATTACACCATCCCCAACTACCTTGCTCGTTGCGTACTGGCAATGAGAGATTTTGCGTAATTGTAAGTGAGCATACCGTAATTGTGTTAGTGTGCAATGCACACTTACTTTGCACCGTCACAAACCAACTTTCTAGTTGCTTATTGGCAATGCGTACTTGTTGTTTCAGGTTGAGTTTAGTTTCTTACTCACACGCAGTACAAATTAATTGTCACTTTTATCTTGTATAGGAAAGATGAAGGGTCGAAGGAAATATATCTTTTATGGAGATCCAACTGACATTTTATTTGCAGAGAACAAGTTATTGAGGAGAAAGCCAAGTAAAGTATTAATTATTATGCATTTCTGGAATTTATTGACATTTTGTTTGAACACTGTTTATTAACTTCAGCAAAAACATTGAAGAGTGAACTAGGTAAATGAATCCATCTCGAACATTGATTTGACACGTTATTACCGACTTCGTATTGGCATACTGAGATTACAAAGTAGATTTTTACCGTTATCAACCGGCTTGAAATGTTAATGACCTCTTATTGTTTTATTTACAGAAGTTATTTAGCATAAAGAATTATTTTGCGTAAATACCTATGTTCTTATGGCTTAACCTTACGTCGTTACTCAATACATTCCGAGGAAAGTAGGTGCAAGGATATACTATACTAATTAACAAGTATGGTTTCCGAGACGAGATCTTTAGAAATTTGACCAACATCGATATTAAATTCGGTAAATATCCAAGGCAAAGAACGCGTGAGTACCTACATGTGCGATGAAAGGTGATGGATATTGGAGTAACGATAAATGATGTTGACGAACCCAGGAATATTATTGTTCTTCAATGTCCACCTTGGATTATGAATATGGAATTCAATGATGATGTAAGTTAACCTTTATGAATCTCTTTTTCTTTATAAGTGCTATCTGAGTAATTTTTTGTAATTTTTGTTATTCATCAGATAAAATGCTACTTCTGAGACTATACGAAAGGAAATTAAAAAAATACTACATCATAAAGCCAAACTTTGCAAGCGTACATTCAACATTTCAGCAAACATTAACGAACAATGATTGACCATGAAGTTCGTTGATCAAGTTGTTTTATTTTCAGAATGGTATTGTGAAATGTTAGAATCCTCTTATTTTCTAATCGCTTAAGATACATTTTTATTGAGCTTTTTTGAATTGATCTTCTATTTAAGAGCAGCACCGATTATGCTGGCTAAAAAACATCGCAGATTATCTCAGAGTTTTTGCGTACAAGGAGTCGGAAGAGTCCAATACATAGCGTGGGTATTCTCCCAGATATTAGTGTAAGGTGTATATAAAGACGCCTAAAAAGGAAAAGAACGTTAATTTTATAGATAATACATTTTAGCTTGTGAGGAAAAGTATGTTAATTACACGAAAAGGTATGCAGTGTATATATTATCCAGTTTCTATTTGACTATCTTCTTGAAATATAACAGATTAATTCACACTACCTTAACTTAGTTTTGATGACGAGAGGATTCAATAAATTGCTACAGTATATTGAGAAAGAAGTATTTACTATTTACAATAAAAGAGTTATGCCCTTAAGGTAATACGGTCCATATTAAGGATATCAGAATTCGATTTGATGCGCGATGGTGTCTGTATAATAGCCTAGGGAATAATATTTATGGAGGTATTTGCCACGGATAGCATATAAGGGAAGGTATTATATTAATAAGCAGGAGATACAAAAATGTGGGGAATGCAAAGAACATCGGACTTATATACTGTAGTACAAGTGAATTTATTCGCTAAATACATTACACGTAATTTGCATCAGTAATTAATATTAGTATAAATTGAATGTCATTAAGTACGTCTATACCAAATGCAATTTTGATTATATGAACTTAATATGATAAAATCTTTTTCTAATATGTATCTTCAAATATAAATATATGCTTTGTATATATTATTAAAATATTTTCAGTATAATTTTTTGAATTCTTGAAAATAAATATAAATTTTTTAAGTTAAATAGCTTTGAATAAATTTATTACTTATAAGATAAACTCGAATAAGAATTGGTTAAATTTTTAATTCTTCGTGATACTTTTCGATTTAACTAGTAAGAAAACCAGATGATTGATATTTCATGTCTTTTAAAAGATGATAAAATTTTTTTTCGATTTATGTTCTCACGCGAATTCAGATCATTGCTAAAATAATTTTTGCAACTTTCTAGATGTAACGAAACATATAAATTTAGTGTAATCAAATCTTCTCCGTAATTAATTTCGAGAAGTCGTCACGCGAATAATGATTTTGCTTTGTTTCATTCAAATTAATTAAACAATTTAACGATTTTATATTCAAATTTAATTTATAAAAAATTTAATTATCACGTTTCTTAGATAACTGAAGCTAAAAAATAAGGAAATAAAAAAAACATAAAAAACATGAAACGAAAAAAATAAATCAATAAATAAATACATTAAAAAATTGGTATAATTCCAACTTCTTTTTGACTCCTCATCTTCCCATACTTTATACGAATCTTATGAAATTCATATCTTTCATCGACAAATTTTCAAAAGACGTTCTAGATTATCTTAACAAGAAAAGAAAAAAAGTATTAATCATATATTACAGTAATATATAATGTATGTAAATAATATCAAAACAATTTATACACAGTTATTAGCTAGGAAGAAAAAGCTTTCTTTGAACAAGGAAGGTTCATAGCCAATTTCTCCTCCGGAATCGGCAGACCAATATCAAAAAAAAGGTTACTTCCATATTAGAAAGAAAAAACTAATAATCATTATTTCTAGAAACTGATTTAGAAAGAGTTAATTGATATTAATTAAATTCATCCAAGTTTTTTTCAGTTATTAGTAAGAAAAGAATTTTAGATAAGTAACAACCATCAGGTTAAAAATCCTGACGATTTAGTTAAGGTTTACCTAAAGTTTTTCTAACTAATTATAAAAAAAAACCGGATAAATAATAACTATTGTCAAGTTAACACCTCCAAAATTCAGTTAAGAACTTAATGCTAAAGTTTTTTAATTTTAGTTTTACTAAGCTGTGAATAAAATGGGTATTTTGAAATCACTCACCTTTTTAAAAATTTATAAGATGAAATACAAAAAATAAATTTTTTTTTTTTATATCGTAAACGAGTGAGTATTAAGCAATTAATCAATTTGTAATCAAATTCTTAGTGATCTAACACGTGTAATATTAGTTACGCGAAGGCGTAATGAATAATAAAATATTTAATAGTTAGATCACATGATGTACGTCAAATAATTTTTGAATAAAAGTAATAATATCGGCCTTAAAAATTGAAAACTTCCAAAAGAAAATGGTCTATAATCATCAATTGAATTACATAGTAAATTTATAATATAAAAATTCATTCTGTATTTTAAAAGTTAGTAAAAAAGTAAACAGTATATACAACTCGACATATAAAAAAAGGTTTTCTTAAACTACAATTCAGTTTATATATTCTAACTTATTCTAAAACTTTATCATTACTTGCACTTATAAATTTTAATTTATAAAAAATTTATTACTTATGCCAATCAATAATACATATGTTGGAAAGTGTACCGTCTACTGTATATATACAGTATATTAATAACCTTCTTAATTTCTTAATTTCTATCAAATTGATCCTTGAAGAGACTCTAATCTGCAATAACCCTAAAAGACGCGATTGTGCGGATTTTTAGTTAAATATGAATTAAATGCTTCTACTAAGTTATCATTTGTTATATAAAAAACTCCAGAATTTATAAATAATTTATTTAATTTAAAATCATACATTCTTAGAAATTATGACAGATCATAAAAAATATTGGTTAATTTAAGGAAAGGGATTTAAACGAATTCATGTGATTCTTATAGGAGTCCTTTATTTTTAGCACCAGAAACCATTTTTGGTGATAGTTTTTCTGCTAAATACATTGCTTCCTTTCTCCATTTTGTCTCTTCTTTGGTAAATTTTCCTCTTATAGGTTCTGCCAATTCTTTTAGTGCCACGTCCCACCATTCCTTGGCTTCCTTCATTTTATCGAGTCTAGCGTACCGGGATGCAACTTGATAGGCAGCATTACTAGAGAATTGTGGCACTTGTGCTGTTTTCACAAATTTGTATACCTCAATCGCTACAGGAAGAGATCGGCGGAGATTTCCATCTCTAACATAAGCTGCAGCCAAGTCAACCTTTATATTAAATGACTGAAATTCTAGATCCAGATGTTCTTTTCGCAGATCTTTTAATTCATCAATCGACTTGGTTAATTCTTTTATGAGAGAAGAATTAAAATTAGCGCTGAAAAGTGATGATTTCACTTGAGGCCCGAGAGAATTCTCGTAAGTTCTAAGAATTTCGGTTTGCCGAAGTTTGACTTTTTTTGATTCAGATCTTTCCAAGTTGCAAAGTCGACATGAACAATTTTTAATACCATGTAATCTAAGGCTATTAGATCGTTCATCATATGAACCTAATGGACTACAATAACTAAGAACCAGCTCCTTGCCACTTAAAACAGGCTGACAAGTTCTTAAAAAGATCATATCTCCAATAATCAACTGTTCAACATTTGTATCAACACATGAGTGATTGAAAAAGGATGGCATGATCCATAACCCAGCTCCGGAATCTTTGGTTAATCGACTGTTTTCTTTTGTGGAATTCATAATACCCCATTGATCCTTTGTTTCAAAAAAATTGTATTTAATAATTTTTTCAATTTTCCTCACATCAACTGAATTTTCGCCAAGATTTTCAATTTCTGGACCAGCATAAAGCTTATATACTTCCTGACAAAGATCTGGCTCTGCTATAAGTTTTCGAGCAATACGGGCCACTAATTCTGAATGTGTAGCTGTAATCATGGTTTTGGATGTAAAATCAATGCTTCTGTAGCTTAAGGGAGCCTCATTTCCATATACTATTTCGAACGCTTTAGATGCTATTAAGAGAGTACCTTCGGGAATGTCTCGTTTAGCAACCCAACCTCTTCCTTTTTTTTTTACAGGACGAACCTCGATATCACCAATTAGGAAATCTGCATGGTCTAATCTCGGTCCTGTTTCACAGACCCAATCATCATTTTCTTGATTAATTTTAACCTTCTCACAAAACTCGTCAATAATCTTTATATAATCATATTTTCCATACCGGCTTTCAGAATCCAACATTTCCACATGTTTTAATAATGTTTTAGTACTTTGCTTAACTGGAGTAATTGAATTATCGGTATTGATTTGCATCTTTAGATCCAAATCTTTAAGTACGACGATGGCTTCTTGATAACGTTTAAGACCACAAAGAGCTTTACCTTTGCGAAAAGCTGCTTTCAGATGATCAGGTTCATTTTTGAGAACGATCTCCACATCATTAAGAGCTTTATCAAATTGATTCAATCGCAAATATGCTTCTGCACGGTTGGCAAGTAATGTGGCATTATTTGGATCTAGTTTGATACCACTCGAATATTCATCAACAGCCGCAGCAAAATCATTTGAAACAAAATATTTATTCCCACTTTGACGAAAGTCGTCGGCTGACAAAATTTTATCATCAACCGCTGATTTTTTATTGGCTTCTTTTATTTTCTGCTTCAGATTATTGGACCACTTTATATTGTTAAGAAGCTCGTTATTCTGATTGATAACAATAACGTCATTAGGATTATCTGAACGAATAATGGCGTCAAAATCAATAAAAGTACTAGGACCATTTGGATTAATTATAGCATTAAAACTGGAAGCAATTTGATAATATGGATTTTTGATCACTAATTTGGTACCTATAGGTAAAAACTCTGATGCCTCAAAAATAGTAAGTACTTTTTTCCGACTTTTGACGGGAATAGCTGATTGTTCAGCCCAATTATATAAAGCGATTCGTTCAACATTACCCTCAGGATCTTCTACGAGCGTAAAAAGGGGACTCAATTTAACACATTTGCTTATCACTTGGCATAACAAAAATTTTCCAGTATGTAATTTATCTACTTCTAAATTTGCTATGGATATTCTATTATTTAACTCAAGGTTGATAGTATTTTGAATATTTTGTCTATATCCGAAGTTGTTAGTTGTGATAAGATGTTCCAATTTTTTACTACTCATTTGTACAATATTATTCAACCATGCTTCATACTCTGTTATTAAAAGTTGTCTGCTTTTTCTTTCCGTCAAAAAACATGCCAATAATTCATCCATTTCCATCGTTGCTGTTGAAATATTGATATAAACTGTTGTGAGAAAAAATAGAGATAAATCTATCCATTTTAATTTAACAGAAACGCCTTATTTGTAGTACAAAATAGACCTTCAAAAACACACATCTTTTTTTGAAATTATTGCGCTGCTTGTGTAACGACCGTCAAGATTTTATGGCGATATGAAATTTTTTTATAGTTATATTACCTTCAATTGGTGTGATGGCTAAGCCATAGGTAGTTCTGTAGCCGGGTCAACTACTAGTAGTAATATTGAAATCAATTTAACCAATTTAAATTTCGATCGGAGCGTAATAAGGTCACATGTGCATTTTAACAGTATCTGCGATGATCCTTTCATCCCGGCTAGATTTTTATGGGGAATTTTATTCGGCCTGTACATTTCATTTACTTTTCTTACAGACTCCTTTTTCACGAGTTCGTACTCATAATGTGGTTAATTACCTTTTCATATAATCATATTTTTTTAATGCATACATACGGTATATAGTATACCTATAGACGTATCGGGAAGCCCACCCTTAATTTCAATGGAAATATATTCCGAGATTAAGCCACCATTTTTTTTGTATATATATTTACTTGAGGAATCGTCCCTTGTGTAGTTTTCTTTTTCAGTCAAATATTGCAAGAGTCCTGCTAAAGTACTCCAGCTCGTATAATTCCTTGACTCTATGCAAGTCAATATGTAAAATTTCATATCTACATCATAAGAAAAGTTAGATTGATTCCAAACAAAAAGAAAACAAACATAACAAATGCAAACAAAATTCAGATAAATATGAGTCTAATTATTAGTTTAGTAGAATGTATTAAAAGCATTATAAATAATCGCAGAAATCATTAAGTAAATCATGTTTAGCTAAGTTATCACTAAGTTTGGCTGTAGTTTAGTGCAAGAAACACTTAGTCACCGTTAGTTTAGTGATGAAGTTGCTAAATTAGTTAAACTTTAATGTGTGCCATAAAAATAATGCATTTGACAACATTCTCTAGTCATTAGCCGTAAAGTTGTAATATCTAGAGTTTGAACCGCTAAATATAATTTCAATAGCAGGAGTATGGGTGTTCGCTATTTAATTAGCACTTAGCGAACTTTGGATGTTAAAGCTCTTGACTGCATGTTATAATAACCTTCCTCCTCCAGAATAGTAAACCTTATAGAAAAATAGGAAAAACCTCCGAATAGTGCTTTACACGTTAAAAGATCTCTACTTGCTTAATATTTCGAAGACAAGTACATAATTGTTAAGAAAGTTAAGATAATAAGAGATATAATCAACTAAGCTCTAGGATGGTAAAGGAGCTCTAATATATTACATAAATATAAATATTTTGGTATTTAACATGAGAATTTATTGAAAAACTTTAACGCACAATATCAAATACTTTAAAACGTGACATTCTTTTTAGAAGGATAAGATAATAAGATATATATATAAAAATATTTTTTGGTATGAGACTGTAAACGTTTACGAAAGATAGTTTTTATTATACATAAAATAAAAAGAATATGGATTTTTCATGTCAAACACATTCTTACCACTAACATTATTTTTGTTGGTAAACAATATAATTATGGAAGATGGCAATATCTCTTTTTTTTGACACAGCAAGCATTTTATATCTACGCCACGATTATTTAAACTGTAATATTTTACGAGAATACACAAATTAACGGATCAGACTGCGCGAGGCGCTATGCATGTTTTTATGACGGGAAGGCATTAAAGTGATGGTCTATTATTTTGTCGATTGTAACATTTAAAAAAGTAAAGAAATTTGTGATAAATACATCTCGAATATGAATGTCTCTCCATTTGATATTTTTTCCTACCTTTTTCTATCCTCCTTCGTTCTTTTTACCAAGACATTAAAAAATTTTTTATCAAAATATCTTTCTCTTTCCCTTGTCCTTTTTTCATCTTATAAAGATTTTAAAATTTTTTTACCAAAGTTAATATGATAGCTTTATTAATATATGTTAAAATCACAAAATCAACAAACAAGAAATACAGTATAATTAAAAAAAAAAAAAATCTATATTCTATTAAATATCTCTTATATATTTATAACAACAAATATTTAAATTATCATAACTTTGAACTTTAATATTATATAAACCAAATTCTTTAACTTCATCTTTTAAAGAATATAATTCTTTTTTATCATTATTAAGAATTTCATCAATAGCTAAATATTCAACTCTTCTATTTTTCATAATATATTCTTTTATATAAGGTAAAATATTTACTCTTTCTTTAAACATCCTATTTCTAATTAATAATCTTTTAATAAAAATATTTTGAGAATCTTTTAAAAATATTTTAAAATCATCCAATTTAATTTTAAAAGATAAATTTAAATATTCTAATCTAGAAGGTAAAATCTTTCCTAAATTACGTAATATAATAGAACTTAAATCATCATAATTACTATAATTATCAATAAAAAGGCAATTAAGGTTAAGACTAACATTTTTAATTAAATTAAGAGCAGAATGAGTATTTTGATTATCAAGACCACGTAATTCAAAAATAGAAATTTTTGTACAATAAGTTTTAATAAGAAGTAATAATTCATTACTATTTGTTAAAGATTCAAAACCAATATTTTCTAAATAATCACCAGATTTTTGTAATAATAATTGAAAAGATTCAATAGGAAAGATTTCACTTGTAAATAAAGATTTTAATTTAAATGGTTTAGATAAATTAATAATTTGTTGAACAAAAATTGAATTTAAAGAATGACAATAAAGAATATGAATAGATTCTAAAACATTTAATTGTTCAAATACTTCAGTTAAATTAACTGTATTTTTAAAATCCACACTATAAAATACAATAGTTTTTAAAGTATTTGAATAATTAGAATTTTTTAATGATAATAATAAATGTAAAGGAACGATATTACAAGAAAAAGAAATTTTTTGAAGATTTTGTTGTGAATTAATAATATGAGAAAAAGTTTTAATAAACATATTTTGAAATCTTAAATAAAGTGATGAAATATTATTACAATTTGATGATAAAAATGTTAAAAAAGAATTAATTTTTGATAAATTTACATCACTTATATTATAAATATGTAATTTCAAATTTTTAATATTATAAATAAAATTTGGATTTTGTAAAATTATTTCAATAACATTTTCAAAAAATTCATAATTTTTATCAGTAATTATTTCAGTTTCAAAAATATTTAATTTAACATCATTATTAATAAATATATTAAATAATGAACTATAAATTAATTTTGAAAATTTTTTAAAATTTATTGCACTTGAATAAGTGTAAGAATTATTAGTTTTTTTATATGTTGATATGGCTCTAACTGTCCATTTTTCAATAAAAAATACCATTCTAAATGTATTTAAACATTTAATAAAATTAGGATAATTAAATAATGGATTTGAAGGAATTAAATTACTATTAAATCCAATTTCATCTAATTTTGTTTTATCTGATTCATTTAAATAATGTAAATAAATTTCAATAAAATGACAATTTTGTGTAGGTATTGAAAATGGATTTTCCCATAATAATGGAATTGCTGTACGACATAATAATCGATTAACTAAAATACATGAATATAATGTTGAAAAATCATTACGAAGATGTTCTAAAATTTCACTTGTTATTTCAGGCAAATCCCCCGAAAATATTTTCGAACATGCCATAATTTTATAAATAAGTTAATTAAGAAAGAAAAAAAAGGGGAATAATTTTGATGGTTATTTGTTTTTCGTTACATTATTATGTTTTACAATTGATTTACGTAAGTTATATTACGTATGTGGCTAAGTCATTTCTACGTGATTTCTGCTGATCAACATTACACGAAATCAACGCCACCGCAGTTTGACCATTATTTGTACAATTCGAGAATGATCAACATTAAGAAGTTTTGTGCGACATGCGTAATCGGAATTCTGGAACATAAAATTTACCATTTCGAGACGGCACCTTTGTTTATTTTATCCGAAGATATTGTTGCATTAGTATCTCTTGAATCATAATTTACAATTAATGCCCCTCGAACGAATCTTAATTCAGTCATTAAATTAATTTGACATAATTTAAAATTTAATAATTCTCTTCGTTTACAATATGACATACTCAAAAATAATTTCAGGAGATTTACCCGAATTAACATATGAAATTATACAATATTTACGAAATGATATTTCAACATTGTATTCATGTATTTTAGTTAATAGATTATGGTGTCGTTTAACGATTCCATTATTATGGGAAGATCCTTTTTCAATTAAAGAATCTAAAAATTATCATTTCATTGAAATTTATTTAAAATGTTTAAATGAAAATGATAAAGAAAAATTACAAGATTATGGTATTAATAAAAATTTATTTCCTTTAAATACATTATTATTCAATTATCCTAGTTTCATTAAACATTTAAATACATGGGATATTATTTCAATTATTAAATTGTGGGCTATAACAGTTAGAAATTTATCAACTGGAGAAATTGGAAATCAATCAAATCAAATTACATTACAATCATATCCAGAATATGATCTTTTTAAATTTATATATGAATCATTATTTAAAATATTTATTGAAAGAGAAGCAAATTTAAATACTTTTGATATTTTTATCTTTTCAAATGATGATTGTGATTATTTTAATATTGCTTTTAAATTAATTTTACAAAATCAAAGTTTCATTCATAATATCAAAAATTTAAATTTAACCATTTACTCAGCACGTATAAATATAACAACAATTATTCCTTATTTAAAATCAATTAATACAATTTCATCACTTTATTATAACTTTTATGGTCATGGTTATAATCCGAAGAATTTTAATAAAATTCATTTATCACAAATAATTAATTCCCAAAACAATCTCAAAAAAATTGTTTTTGATTCAAGTAGAAATCCCATAAATTATTTATTTACTTCATTAAAACATTCCAATTCTTCCAATACTTTAAGAATAATTACTTTTCGTAAAATTGTTTTTAATGATACTTTTAATGAAGTATTTGAACAATTAAATGTTTTAGAATCTATTCATATTATTGATTGTAAAGCTTTAAATTCTTTTATTCAACAAATTCTTGATATTACCAAACCTTTTAAATTAAAAACTTTATTTATGAAGAAGGAATTACCAAATATTGATTTATTACAATTATTATTACAAAAATCTGGTAATTATATAGAAAATGTTAGTTTTGGGCCATTAATGAATAATGATACAAAACGAAAATCATTTGAATTAATTACAAGATATTGTAAAAAGATTCAATTTCTTGAGTTACTCGGATTTGATCATCAAAATATTTATTCATTATTATTATTCAATTTGGTTCAAAATCTTAATTACCTTTCAATTTATTATATTGATGCTAATTTATTTGTATTACAAAATTTAGATCAAATCCTTCCTTTTAAATTAGAATATTTAAATTTAAATTTTTTTATTGAAAATGCAAGTGATTTTGAAATATTTTTAAGAAATTCTCGAAATATTTTTATCAATAGATTATGTATTAAAATTAGGATGCGTGAAAGTGTTGATATTTTACCTTATATAAAAGAATATATTATGAAAAAGAAAAGAGTTAAATATTTAGGTTTTAAGGTGAAAGATGTTGATTTATTCTCTTTAAAAGATGAAGTAAAGGAATTTGAATTATATAATATTAAGGTTCAAAATTATTATTCTTCAAGTACTGAATTTGTTTATTATTTAAAAGAAAAATGTATTAGTAGTTAATGTATTCCGATTAAATCGGATTTGGAAATATTAAATAAAAATTTTTGTTGTTTTTATTTTTTTTTATACAATATATTATATTGATTTGTAGATTTTAATAAAGTGCCCATTGACGTGACGTAAGAATCTCAGGCGATCATATTTATTTGATTATGAGTTTATGACTTCCATCACTCACTCTTCTTTCCTTCCTTCTCTCATCATTCCTCTCCCATATTTATTTTTAATACTTCTTTTTCATGCACGGCTGGGGCATATCATGCTTGCTTTGAATACCAGTTTTACACTTTTACCGCAGTCTTACAGTGGGCTGGTTGGGAATTTTTTGGAGCGGTATAGTACTATGCAATTAGGCCACACAAATTCGATTTTTTGGTTCACTTCACCCGGTCGGGTCACTTTTTCAAATTTCAATAAAAAAAAGTTTATATATAAAAAGTTTATCACGTGATCAGTACGTAATTTTATTGGAGGGTAAGTTTATCACGTGGCTGAGAACTTCTGTAAATTCTTTAATTACTCTCCCCTTTAAAATCAACCAATCGGATGTCACGATTTTATATATAAACTTTTTTTTATTAATAAACAATAAACCCCGGGTCCCCGGGTCAATTTTAAATTTCAATGTTACGTGAACCGAAAAATTGAATTTGTGTGGCCTTAGCTCGTGGGTATTGTAGTTCTGCGATGATGTTGGTTATAATATCGCTAATTTCTTTTTACAGTATTATCAGCAGAATCAAAGAATCCAGCGGTCAGGGTCAGGGTCAGATCAATGTTAGCATTAGAACGGAATAAGAAGTGTGAGAGAAAAAAGTATAAAGGAGGCTTAAAGGAAAGGATTTTGATCGGGGAATATGTTTTAACTTATGGAATAAGTTTTGAAGTCGGCGGGGAAGGGATTAGAAATCAAAAAGATTAAGGAGCAGGAGGCCGATGGCAAGACAAGGAGAAGGAAATTTCCCAAATGATGAATAAATTGAACTAAGTCCATGAATTTTTCTTCAGGAAAAGTAAAGTTAATGAATAATCAGGACCGATTTAAAAGAAAAAAATTGTTTGTCTTTTTAAAAGAACATTTGTTTTTTTTTTAAAAGAATAAAAGAGTTTTTTCTTTTTAAAAAAAGTAGTTTTTAAATAAAAAAGGTTAAATTTTCTAATAATTTAATTAAAGAAATTCGTGTAATAAAATTTTATATAATGAAATTTATGTAATAAAAAATTTTAAATATTTTATATAGATGGTATTGAAGGATGGCTAAACTTAGTTTTTTAAAAGGTAGTGACAGATCTATAAAACTTATATAATAAATTTATAATTTATATATGGAGTCATGGATATTACATAGACACTATAAGAGCTTTCGATTTTTTTTTTTTTTTTTTTGGGTTGATGAGTTGGAGAGTTGATTGCCAGATTACCAAAATCATCCCAACAATGTCTTTCGATGCAGAATTATTAAGTTTTTCTCTCGTCTTTTAATTGGTGTGATAATTAAAATTACTTTAAATTTTCCATCAGAATTTTACATTACTCTAGTTTTAAATTCTAGATATTTAGCTATTCTTCCTTTTCGCTTCTTTTATTCTTATTTACAAATCTTTTCAATGTTTGTCTCTTTAAATATTATCTTTATTTATTACAGTCATTTCTCTTATTGTGATTTACTGTATCCAATCAGATACATGCGATCTTATGCATGGACAAAGGATAAATTAATGTGCGAAACACAAACAATACGCCCGTGTTGAGCCAACTCAAGTTCTAACACCTTTTTCTAGGAGATGATCGCTATGGTATAAATTAATATTTCATTAAACTTAACTTGGAGAATGAATTTGCTATTATTATTTAATTATGATATCATGTACAGATTTAAATAATCTTTTAACTCTATCAAGTTATTTGTGCAGATCTGTTGATCAGTCCGTCATTATTCAACATTTCATATGACTTCATTTGTGATACACCGAATCATATATAATCGTCTGATCAACAAAAATTCGATTCGATTTCTTATTTCTTATAGAAAAAATGGCAAACGTACCCAATAGAAAAAATGCTTATGCGGATAAATGGGCTCAATGGATCGAGGATGGAATTGCTAAAAGTTATATTAATTACCATGATTATAACGAATTTCAAAATATAAGTTGTATAGGTACTGGAGGTTTTGGAGAAGTTTATCGGGCTACTTGGGAGAGTTCTGATACTGTTGTCGCATTAAAATCTTTGAAAAATAATAACTTTATGAAAGAAATTGCTAATGAGGTATAAAATCAAAATATTTTTATTATTTAATATTAAAAAAAGAATATCCGCAGTTTATTTGTGCTAATCATTAAAATAATATTTAGATAGAATTATTGCATAAATTCAATTTTCATAAAAACATTATAAAGTTTTTTGGTATCACTAAAAAAGAAAGTAAGTTTTTTTTTTATTAAAAGATTTACTTTTTTTAGTTAAATAATGATTATACATATTAACTTTTAAATAATAAATTTATATTATTTATTTAATTTAGGTAAAAATAATATGAATTTAAATTATTTGCTCATTCTTGAATATGCGGATAGTGGTACATTAAGAAATTATTTGAAATATAATTTCTCAAAATTAGATTGGAACATCAAATTACAATTTGCTATCCAAATTGCCGATGCAATTTCGTGTATTCATCAAAAAAATATTATTCATCGCGATCTAGTGAGTATTAAAATAATTTTTTATTCACGTTTTAAATGTAAACATGTTAAATTTATTTTTTATTTTATAAAATAGCATTCAGATAATATATTAGTTCATCAAAATATTATCAAATTAGCAGATTTTGGACTTTCACGTAGAATAGCGGAAGTATCATCAACCCCAGAAAATATTTTTGGAATGATTCCTTATATCGATCCACAAAATTTTAAAGAGCAAACAAATAACAATGATAAAAATTGTCATTATAAAGCAAGTAAGAAATCGGATGTATACAGTGTTGGCGTACTTCTATGGGAAATATCAACTGGACAATTACCGTTCGAATCTTATGATGCACTTTATCAGAAACCAAAATTAATTTTAGAAATTTTAAATGGAAAAAGAGAAACTCCAGTTTCTGATACTCCAATTGATTATATTAATATTTATAAAAGTATAATTATCTATTACATTTTAATAAATTGTTTTAGTTTAATTAATTTCATTATTACTAATTTTTAATTTTCGAATACTTTTCTAGAATGCTGGCAAAATAACCCAGATGATAGACCAGATATGCGGCAAGTATTTTCTGATCTGAAATTAATTAATTTGAACACAAATGAAACAGAAATTTATGAGAAAACTGTAAATATTATTGAAAGTAATATAGTAATTAATAATGATAATAGTAGTATCAATGATAATTCATTAAGTTTAAGTATTAATTATTCATTACAATCTAAATTTGATAAATTAATTGATGAATATGATAAAATGCAAATTGAAGAAAAGGATTTAATAACAAATAATATTAAATTAAATGAAAATGAAGTCATAGTTAATGAATTGGTTTTGCTTTATGAAGAAGCCATTCAAAAAGGAATTTATAAAAATGATTATATTCAATTGGTTAAGCAACATATATTACTAAAAAATAAAAATGTAAATGAAATATTTAATTATTTATTAGATAATAAGAAAAAACAACAAAATTTAATTCTCTTGGCATATTTTTATCGATTTGAGTTAGGAACAAAAAAAAATGAAATCAAAGCATTTGAATTATTCAAAAAGGCAGCTGGAAAAGGTCAGATTAATAATGCAATAAAAGAACTTGCATATTGTTATAAACACGGAATAGGAACTAGAAAAAATGAAATTAAAGCATTTAAATTATACAAAGCAGCAGCTAAGAAAGGTTGGATTAATGCAAAATATAGCCTTGGAAGATGCTATTACTATGGAATAGGAACCGAAAAAAATGAAATCAAAGCATTTGAATTATTCAAAGAAGCAGTTGAAAAAGGTCACATTAATGCAATAAAGGATCTTGCATATTGTTATAATCATGGAATAGGAACCAAAAAAAATGAAATCAAAGTATTTGAATTATACAAAAAAGCGGCGGAGAAGGGCCAGATTGATGCAACATATGAACTTGGAAAATGCTATTATAATGGGATAGGAATTAGAAAAAATGAAAATAAGGCATTTGAATCATACAAAAAAGCGGCTGAAAATGGTCAAACTAATGCAATATACAATCTTGGATATTGTTATCAAAAAGGAATAGGAACCAAAAAAAATGAAATCAAAGCATTTGAATTATACAAAGAAGCAGCCGAAAAAGGTCAGATTAGTGCAATATATGATTTTGGGTATTGCTACCAAAATGGAATAGGAACTGGGAAAAATGAAATTAATGCATTTGTATTATATAAAGAAGCATCTGAGAAGGGTCTGGTTGATGCAACATCTGAACTTGGTAAATGCTATTATTATGGAATAGGAACTGAAAAGAATAAAATTAAAGCATTTGAATTATTTGAAGAGGCAGCTGGAAAAGATCAAATTACTGCAATATATAATCTTGCATATTGCTATAAAAATGGAATAGGAACTGAAAAAAATGAAATCAAAGCATTTGAATTATATAAAAAGGTAGCTGAAAAAGGTTTGATTAATGCAATAAAAGAACTTGCATTTTGTTATAAATATGGGATAGGAACCAAAAAAGATGAAATTAAATCAATTGAATTATACAAAAAAGCAGCTGAAAAAAGTCAGAATTAATGCAATACCTGATTTCGATATTTTTAACAATATAGAATAGAAATTGAAAAAATAAAATTATAGCAAATTTTTTTATACTTAAAAGTAGTTGATTTGTTATGTATCAACAATAAAATTTATTCAATAATTATATTCAAATATATATTAAAGTAGTTTAAATTAATTACTAATAATTTGTTTCATAATTTGTAAGCTATGGCCTATGATACCTTATTTGTAATACTCTATTTAAATTTTTTTTTCAGTTTTTTATTTTTTAGCTTCTAAGATGCTGAATATTTTGGATTAAAATATTAAATTTGTAAAAAATATTTGTATAAAGCAAGTTTATAATATTGATATTCTTTTTATTGTATTGTAATGATGCTTTTGTTTTTGTGATATTTAGCAAATGATTGGATCTTGTTCTTCATTTATTAATTCACTTTAGTTATTCATCATGTTTGATAGTACATCCATAAAAGACATAAAGCATCCTATGTTTTTTATTATCAGAATGGGTTGAAATCAGATGGGTTAATTACTTTTCCTTGGCAACAGGCAACATAATATTGAGAAAACCAAAAAAAGTTAATGTAATGTAACTTCATTTAGATATTAAACATATAATTTTAAAATATTTTTATATATAACTAATACATTTCTTCTTGCCTCTTGTGTAATACAATTTTGACTTAACTTATTTTATGCAAAAAAATTACTCATATAAATATATTTAGCTTATGCAATGTTAGAGTGTATTAATATTACTAAATATAATTACTCATATGAAGAAAAAAAATACTATTCATACGAAAAAATTTTACTCAATTGAAATTTATTTATGGTGTTTGATATATATAACATAAATAATAAAAGTACCTTTCCAAATACTTTTTATTTGTTATTGCATATGTGTATGATAGTGTATACAGTTAAGCAAACATAAATTAAAAAGAGAAGTCAGGAAATATTTTGAAATTAAATTATTGTTTATAAGTGTGGGTAATTATATGATTTGATTCTCAAAAAGTACATCAAATACGCACCTGATTAAAATTGTACGACAATATTGAAATCAACATTTGAACATTAATATAATTTATCCGACTTCTTTTTACTTTCTTTGCTTACAATGACTTGTTCAAAGATATTTTCAGGTGAACTATGATATCATTTAGCAATACCATTAATATGGGAAAATTCAATTATAATTTAATCACAATTTACTTAATTGCCGATTCGTCTAAAATAATCGGCACTGCGTTACTAATAAAATTCGGGAATAATAGCAATAATAAAAAAAAGCGTTTTTCACATCTCATGCGTGGAATAGATTCAAAAAATCTTTAAAAACAACTTTGAAAGCTAAAAATTATATTTTTCTAATGTAAATAACGCAATATATCAAAATAAAATATTAAAATTTCCTATATTTTAAGGTGTAAATGTGACGCGCGTACATAGTAAATTCATTATTTTGCATATGAACGTATTTTTTCAGTATATCATATGACTTTTATTTACAGTTAATATGTCGTCTATGAAAATATCCTTTTTTGAGGATTGTGTTCTAGCACAAAATTGGCAAATTTAGCAACGCAGTGCCGTTCTTAGACGAATCGGCATTAAATTATTTAAATGATGATGATTTTAAAAAAATAATAAAATAAAATTGAATCAATTTAGTATTAATATTTAATAAATTTTATTGTCTTATCTAGTTTTAATGTTATTGAATGAAAATTTACCCAATTTTTAAAAAATTGATTATGTCTTCGTTTAAAATATTTATAAAAAATGAAATAAGTTTAATAATATTTTGTTCATCCTGTAATGTAAACAAAAATTATCAATTAGAAACGTCATAATCCGCCGTTACTACAAGGTTACTACATGTCCAGCTGCATAATCAGCTGTTTTAACTTTCAAAAAAAAATGTTTATATAATTATTACGTAAATGTATTATGCGACAAATATCGGAACAACCAGGCCGATTAATTAATTGATTTGCATCCTAACGCTTTTTATTTGCCCTTTTATTATGCCTATCTAACTAGCAAAATTTGGTTTAACCCCCGTTTTTGTCCCTGTCACAATCGACAATTTTATTTCCTTTTTTTGAACATGCCTATTTGACCCGAAATATGCCAAATAAATAAATGACACGTAGATCACGTAACACTTGCGAGTTATGCAACGCGAAGGACTTAAACGGTTTCCGTTTTTCTAGTTTATTATTACACTAAATTGTTACGTAATAGTTTCTTTCATTCAATTTTATTTTTTTTTATTAAACCATATATTTTTATTTAAACCTATATTTGCGACTCCATCATTACATCTTAAAAAAAAAATAATTAAGAAATTTTTCCCTTAGATATGATTCGCCACGTTGTTTATTTAAAATAAATTCAATTGAAAATAACTAAATTGACTTTTCATCAATCATGTTTATATTTAATTTTTTAAATAAGATTTAAAAATAACAACAAATTAATAGTCTATTGAATTACAATCATTGATTTTGTTTATCAAATTATTTTGAATATTAATCAATAATCAAGGATACTATCTATTCATTAAATATGACAATCAAATTTGTCAAACACAAATTGTATTCGCTGAAAAAAAAAAATAAATAAAAAGTAAATTATTAATTTTTAAATTATAATACTAAGCATAGAAAGTACAATAATAAATGGTAGTAATATACTACGCCTCAAGGTCATAAAATTTATGTGGGGTACAACATAAAGTTTTGATCAACAATTTGCATTTTACTAACTAGTGTACTTTTGGATATAGTGAGTGAGTTTTATACTAATACTACTAATAAATTAATAAAAGATTTTTTTATAACAATAGATTGTGTTTAGTGAGATTTATAAAAAATTTAATGAGATTTCTTTTTAGTAATAGTTTGGTATAAAAAAATTTTCTGGGATTTTTTTTTAATAACAATATGTTGATAGTAGACAATTAACTTGTTAATAATTGTTTTTTAGTAAGATTTTTTTATAGTTCACAGTAACACTAATATTACTAGTAAGTAATATAAATGAAAGATTTTTATAACAATAGATTACATTTAATAAGGTTAATAAAAAAATTTTCTGAGATTTATTTTAATAACAATAGGTATGATAAATTTTTGGTGATTATTTTTTTTAGTAACAATAGATTGGTAATAGACAATAAAAAATGTTGTGAAAACATTAAAAACTGAACTGATAATGAATTGGTAAATCAGATCAGTTTTGGTCACAGTAATAATTGTCT